GGGAAGAGAATTTTGACGAAGCGTTTGAATAACTTGTTTGTCACCCCATCTGGTTATGTCACTCTGGCAACAGGCTAGACTAGCCCGAGTGTCATCTGGCCCCGACACAAGACCTAGACATTTTGACGGGTAAATGTCAGGTGTACCCTGAGTACTAGAAATATGAAAGATGTACATTAATTTGTATGTTGTGTCAAATTTGCTTTAATAAATTCGGAATCAGGGAACGTCGCTTTAATTCAGCGATGTAGCACTCGACAGTAGAGAAGCGATGAACCTTTCACGGGGAGCTAATGATCCTAGGCAGTGATAATTTTCGGAGCGAAGATGGAAACAGTTACATCAGATAACGTTTTTTGTCAACTTAATGACGAGAAAAAGACAGCATAAAGGATATTTCTCAAATGCATGTCAATCCCGTTATTAAGTTTCAAAACATTCAGTAATATCTAGTGCAAAACGGCATCATTCTAAAGTCAAATAATTGATGTTAATAATATATTTGAGGTCAAAAATGTTTTCAGACGTGCTATAGGAAACAAGCTTGTGTTTGTTTGAGCACCATTAATGATAGCTGTTAATGTAGAATAAATACTGTTATCTATTTCTTAACCCTCCTTGTCGATTTATATGTGTATGTACTCTGTAATTTATGTTACTGAGAAAACTACACCTTCAGTCATATTGTGTTAATATTTCACTTTATAAATAGCATCATCGGAAATAACCTTCGCTATTAATAGGATAATATTTGATATTGTTTTAAGAGCATTATTTCATGCATTTCACAGATTTAGTGTTATGTTGAATCTTTGAAAACGATTGTTGTATTTTATGGAACCCTTTTACGGTAATTAAACACATATATGATATACTTGTTAAATCATACTTAACGTCGTCAATGTCAATAAATGGAGGAAGATCCTAGATAAAGAATGAACTAACTTTCAAATTAATTATAGTCCAAAAAATGTTCATCATATTCTTAAGATACAGAAAAATTCTTACTTACCAAGCCTAGGTGATCCCACAGTGAACAAATTGAATAATTTGTAAGACTTTACGACAACCCAACAATGTATATTCACACGTATGTTACTAAAATAGCATTACGTAATAATAAGTATACGTTATTAACAAAAAAGGGTGGGGGAGAATAAAAATGTCTTTGATTCAAACGTGTATTTTTACATATTTGCTTATTGTTGTCAGCATGATATTTAAATAGTGTTTTATGATCGTTTCAGATGTAATTGATATATATTGTTAGTTGCAATGCAAAAGACGATGCATCATTGTGGTTGTATAGAAAGATCAGTGTAAGGGAGATAACCCTGGCGTATCTGATTGTAAAATTATAATTACAAATAGTCTTTTCATGATAAATAACAATCTATATATCAACTATCAAATAATTCTCTCAGTTTATGCCCGTAAATATGAATAAACACGGTGATTTGTTTTATTATTTTCGTTTCAGTACATGAAATGTACTTTTTTTTTACATAAATCCTTATAAAAAAGCGCTAAGATTCTACAGGTATACCTTTTCCGAACCAATCAGCAATTCAAAAAGCAAAACGAAGTAGCGAAGCACGTATGGAAACATTAAATGGGTGAATACATAATACTAACACAGATAACATCAGCTCCTCCATATGACATCTTGATCATTTTAGACCCATCAAAGGTACTAATGTTGAAAGAATAAAAACAAAGTCTTTAGTGTTTCCAAACAGAAATAAAAAAAAATACAGCAAAGGGAAAGGTGTCTATATATTCCTTTATAACAAGACATATTTCAGTTTTTGTTTACAACAGATACCATTTTGTAAAGTTATTTCATGTAAATTGTGCCAGAAATAAAATCAAATGAAATTTTGAAATATCCAGCTACAGGAATATGGCCTTCATTGGGGCTGATAATCCATGAAAGATTCAACTACGTTATGACGTCAAATAAATCACTAGAAATAAGGAGTAATAAAGCACCTGTCTGGAAATTTGATAGGTTCATATGCTCTTCCGTTTATTTAGGTCTTCTGAATGTGACGATTTGTGAGGACAAAGGAATACAAACTGATATCTATAGTTTTCCTGTAAATAGTCACTACATAAATGTATTAAGAATCACCTGTTACATGTGTTAAACATTATTATGAACAGGGGGATAACAAAACAGAGTACACAGCTACAGCATCAAGTGGTTAAATGGTATATTAAATACTCATTTAGTGGTATTTAAAGACTAAAAGAAAAACATGCCTTAGGCGTTCCGAAGCATGTGTATCCTCGTTTTCGAAATGCGTTTTATATTGTTTGTCTATATGTAGTTGTAAATATATTTTTTAATCGTTTCAGGCGAGGACCTCCGGAAAGAAGTGAATTATTCAACCAAGATATCCCGCTGTTTGAAACTTGATGGTACCAGCGATAGCACTAAGGAATAACTCTATGGAACAGTGCTTGGTGTTGCATTATAAAGCAAGGGCTTCAAGGGCAGTACATAAATCCCTTCATAATGGCGAAAAGTATGCCTTCAACATAGATAATTTGTTTAAAAATTGGAAAAGTTCCTCAAACATTTATACATAAATCCTGAAGACAGTCAAAACTATAAAGGTTGGAACTCTTTTCAAACTTATCAGAAAATATAATAAGTATGAATTAAAAAACGGCCTAAATAAGCACATATTATTATTTATTATGTCATTATTTACGTCTCATCAATGTTACCAAAGGTGCAAAGAACTTTTTTATTTGCTGTAAATAAATGTTTAACTGTTATTATGTCTTTGTGTTGTCAGTTTCATTCTCTCACCCCACAGAAGTTCAGTTTGAACCTAGAGTGATCCGAACACGGATAGCACGTCGTAGGAAGCTGATGACAGACACATGAACACACCGCCTCCCATTACAAACACACTTATTTCAATCAACGTGATAAATGTAAATAAGCGTATGGTCGTGTCATATTTAGATATCAGTTAATAACAGTTGTTGCATAGACAGCTTAAGGGTACCGGACGTAACTTTGTCATATTTTATCGTGGCTTGACATTACGTTGTATAAACAGATCTCAAATAGGGATCAATTCAAATAGCCTTCCATGTTAAATACAATCTCTTTACCGATATTCCTCCATATCAACATTGAAACGTTTAAAAATATTACGTAGTTTTAAATTTCGAATAAATTATTCTTTCTAACCAAGAATTACGAAAAAGATGAGAATGCATTAGAACAGGATGTCAAACTTTTAAACCTGCGCGGTACCAACGATGGCACTGAGGATTTTAAGATATGGCAAAGCGCTCGATGTTGTATGATAAACTGATAGAGTTTCCATGGCTATACATAAAGTCCTATTTAATGGCTAATAGGTTTTCTTTGACGAATTTGACTTAACATATAACAGTAACGAGTACAAAGTACATTTCTGGGACATGTCAATAGTATAACTTCTGGCATCTAAATAGGAAAAGTATGCTCTAAGACGAGGAAAGATATATAAGAGTCTAAAGGAGTCAGGTCGATGCGATATTTGAAGGTTTATGAAATAATGGTATTCAGCAAATAAATACACTCAACATAAAGGTCAGTAAAATGAAAATGCATGTCTGATGGGTTCCCAAACATTGTAAAAATAAGTTGAAATGTGCATATCAGTCATTATAACGAAGATTATTTACAATATTTGGATACAAAACAAGCGTTTGTTTCTCCATGATTTGGTGAGTTGAAACAGAAAGCAAGAGTAAACATTTAATGCACCATTTGACAATTTCGTAAATTTCGGACTTATCCGTGGTGTATGTACTTATCAATCAAATAAACGGAAACCCACGTCTAAGGTGTTCTGAATAATATAAATATAAACTTTAATTTAAAAACAACAATTATGAAACAAGTTTTATTAACACTCTTGTTCATCCGGATGTTAGCGCGCGGGGGTTCTCAATGTTGGAGGAAACCGGAAAAAACCCAAGTGGTCGTTCAGGTGACCCCATACATTTCCACGTCCATTCTGGGTAAAGCAGTAATGGTACTATCAAAAAGGGAAAGTACATGACCTGAAAACAAAACCGTTCAACTTATCGTACAGTATATGAGTAAGCCGTCCCAGTTGGTTACCTTGAAGGATTGTGCTCGGTTTCTATAACCTCATGAATGGCAATAGTCCGCTAGAAAATCACAGTATGTGTTTTCAACTAGAAGGTCAAACATCCAAATCATCCTAAGCATATTTTAATTTTGGCTTTTGGTGTGTTTATTACAAAAATATATTAATATGATAATATGGTCGTTTATAACCATATATTTGTACCACTGTTCTTCTTTCCTCCAAAAGAAATCCCCTTTAACAAGAGAACGAATGTGCCCCTACAAATGGGCGGTGTGGTTTGAATGTTACGATTTGTTTGGACGCCCCATTGGTTCTAGTTTTGAGGATGTGATTTGTTTAAGTCTCCTTGGATCTTGTTTAGTGGAAGTCAGGTTGTTGTTTTGAAATGATGTCTCCTTGGTTCCTAAGTTTGAGTACCTGTACGTCGTGCACATCATACCAAATAGTAGTTTTTTTTCTTTTTGTTAACTAATTTTGATCTGATGTGTTGTTGAAAATCTTTTGAACCTCTGATTAGTTGACTGTGGTTAAGTTTAAATATGGGGATTTCCTTTATTTTGATGATCGGTTTTCCAAGATCTATGTGTTGCCTTTACTTTAATGACTGATTTATCCTGACCGTAAGGTTACCTCTTAAAATAATGCTACAATTGTATATGTCACTTATGAGTGCATTTAGCTTTGGCGTTTGTTACAGGAAAGTAAACATCACATTTGGAATAGCTTCATACTTACCTTGCCTATCTGAAGCTATATCTGTACCCATGTATTGTTCAAGCTGTGCTCTGTTTCCCCAGTACGGATTAGCCCTGTAACATCTGGTCACCTGAGTCATACAAGAATCGATATAGCGCAGAACCGGGACGTCAACCGTCTCTCATAGCCTGATCAGCACTCCAGCTGAGAGAACAAGCTCGACCCACACATACCGCGGGCAATTTTAGACCAATTAGCCGACGTTACAGTACTGTATATGGTTAAATGTCATAGTTGAGTTTATCAATGTATCTACACTTGTTTTGTAAGTCCTTCAACAATACTCCACTGAATCCGTTACATGGGTAGAATTTATCTGGATATATTTATATCAGGAGGTGGAACAAGTTTTAAAAGTTTGCTGCTTCCTTATTCGACAAGTTTTGCATAAATGGCGAGTGGATCAAAGGGTAACTATTGTCAAGAGAAACGTCGCATATTATGTCGCCAACAGGAGCCCTTCCAAAATGAATACTTGCTGCGAATATCAAGTGTGAGCTGCTGAACTCAAATGTAACGTCGTTCTACTAAGATTCTTTTGCAGGTTTGTATTCAAAATTATGTTATTGTTTCTTATGGATTGTATTACTTTTCCCAGCTTGTTTACAAATGTCATTAACATTTATATTTGCTGTGTGCAAGATATTTTGGATTATGATTCAATGTGAAAATTCTGGTCGGAGGATAAAAGAAATACCGATTTAAAAGCAATACATTGCCATCAAAATACATATTCCTTGTATAGGCGTGTATCATTGTTAACAAATCTATAATTTTGACTGGATCAAAATATTTTTCTGTGACAGTAAGCTTTGAGATATGTTTTTGTGATCGTATTTTAATTTTCGATAGAAACAAGATATTTAATTGAATCTACACTTTATTACTTAAGGGTTCAAATCCAGCTGAATGGAATATTTAATTATGCATCTATTTCTGTTGGACCATTGTTAGAGGTTAAGGGAAGATAATAATCACGATCTTACTGGATAAATCGATCTAGGTCTATTAGAACACGTTGTCAAAGTTTTGTTATTATCGTTCCGTTGACACTATTGCGGTTCCAAGTTTGAGGACATGACAGATTAGCAGAATATGCTTATTTTTCGATTATTGGTTTTATCGATTTACGGTTTGACACGATTTCGTTGACATTTTGGTATTCTGTTGTTATTGGTTTTTACAATGCGAAGTCTAAACGGCTTATTTTCAAAATATTAAACTTGAATGAATACGAGTTATTGTTTTAGTTTAAATTTTTAATAAAAACAATATTTAAACGATGAACTGCCTAGCGCGCTTTATTAGATTTGCTTTTGTCCAGTTATAATTCATTTTGCCTATGCAGGTCAACTGAAAGCAGTTCAATACTTATATTTAACATTTTTGGAATCTGTTCATCTCATAAAAAATCAATTTAACTAATTTTTATTTAGCATTTTGTTCAAATTATATATGTATCGTGCATATATAACATCCATCGCCAAGGGAGGGTCAGTGGTATCCAATGTAACAATTATGACGCTCAAAATAATGACGAAATTAACAATTGGTCAATGGCATTCATAGCCTATATGAATGCCAACTGAATTGGGTCGGGTTATATCGCGGCAAAACCATACGATGGTAACGATATTGTCGAGGTACGTGTCATTGTGTCTAGATTCCTGTAGCGTATTAATGTCATCCATCCCGATAATATTCCCAGCTTTGATGTTGAGAACTTTGCTGGTAGAATATCTAAAATTATCTAAATAATCTTTAGGGTGTTATGAAAAATTGTACTATCGACAAGAATACACCATCCTAATCTACAACGATTGCAAATATGCTCAGTTATACAAATCAATGTTTGGTGTAGTTCCCACTAATTGGCTGCCTTATATTGTTAATGTCGGTTCCGTGCGCCAAATCATTGTTTGGTGTAGTTCTCACTAATTGGCTGCCTTATATTGTTAATGTCGGCTTCATGCGCCAAATTATTGTTTGGTGTAGTTCCCACTAATTGTCTGCCTTATATTGTTAATGTTGGCTTCGTGCGCCAAATTATTGTTTGGTGTAGTTCCCACTAATTGACTGCCTTATATTGCTAATGTCGGCTTCGTGCGCCACATCATTGTTTGGTGTAGTTTCCACTAATTGGCTGCCTTACATTGTTAATGTCGGCTCCGTGTGCCAAATCATTGTTTGGTGTAGCTCCCACTAATTGGCTGCCTTATATTGGTAATGTCGGCGTCGTGCGCAAAATCAATGTTTGGTGTAGTTCCCCCTAATTGGCTAACTTATATTGGTAATGTCGGCGTCGTGCGCAAAATCAATGTTTGGTGTAGTTACCACTAATTGGCTGCCTTATATTGCTAATGTTGGCTTCGTGCGCCAAATTATTGTTTGGTTTAGTTCCCACTAATTGTCTTCCTTATATTGTTAATGTCGGATTCATGCGCCAAATCATTATTTGGTGTAGTTTTCACTAATTGTCTGCCTTATACTGTTAATGTTGGCTTCGTGCGCCAAATTATTGTTTGGTTTAGTTCCCACTAATTGTCTGTCTTATATTGTTAATGTCGGCGACGTGCGCCAAATCAATGTTTGGTGTAGTTACCACTAATTGGCTGCCTTACATTGTTAATGTCGGCTCCGTGCGCCAAATAATTGTTTGTAGTAGTTCCTACTTATTGGCTGCCTTATATTGTTAATGCTGGCTTCGTGCGCCAAATTATTGTTTGGTTTAGTTCCCACTAATTGACTGCCTTATAGTGCTAATGTCGGCTTCTTGCGCCAAATCATTGTTTGTAGTAGTTCCCGCTTATTGGCTGCCTTATATTGTGAATGTCGGCTCCGTGCGCCAAATCATTGTTCGGTGTAGTTCCCACTAATTCGCTACCTTATATTGTTAATGTCGTCGTCGTGCGCCAAATCAATGTTTGGTGTAGTTCCCCCTAATTGGCTAACTTATATTGGTAATGTCGGCGTCGTGCGCAAAATCAATGTTTGGTGTAGTTCCCACTAATTGTCTTCCTTATATTGTTAATGTCGGCGACGTGCGCCAAATCAATGTTTGGTGTAGTTCCCACTAATTGGCTACCTTATATTGTTAACGTCGGCGTCGTGCGCCAAATCAATGCTTGGTGTAGTTCCCACTAATTCGCTACCTTATATTGTCAATGTCGGCGTCGTGCGCCAAATTATTGTTTGGTTTAGTTCCCACTAATTGACTGCCTTATATTGCTAATGACGGCTTCGTGCGCCAAATCATTGTTAGGTGTAGTTCCCACTAATTGACTGCCTTATATTGCTAATGCCGGCTTCGTGCGCCAAATCATTGTTTGTAGTAGTTCCCGCTTATTGGCTGCCTTATATTGTTAATGCTGGCTTCGTGCGCCAAATTATTGTTTGGTTTAGTTCCCACTAATTGACTGCCTTATATTGTTAATGGTGTAGTTCCCACTAATTAACTGCCTTATATTGTTAATGTCGTCGTCGTGCGCCAAATCAATGTTTGGGGTAGTTCCCACTAATTGGCTGCTTTATATTGTTAATGTTGGCTGCATGCGCCAAATCATTGTTTGTAGTAGTTCCCGCTTATTGGCTGCCTTATATTGTTGATGTCGGCTCCGTGCGCCACATCATTGTTAGGTGTAGTTCCCACTAATTGGCTGCCTTATATTGTTAATGTCGGCTCCGTGCGCCACATCATTGTTAGGTGTAGTTCCCACTAATTGGCTGCCTTATATTGTTAATGTTGGCTTGGTGCGCCACATCATTGTTTGGTGTAGTTCCCACTAATTCGCTACCTTATATTGTTAATGTCGGCGTCGTGCGCCAAATCAATGTTTGGTGTAGTTCCAACTAATTGGCTGCCTTATATTGTTAATGTTGGCTTCGTGCGCCAAATCATTGTTTGGTGTAGTTCCCACTAATTGGCTACCTTATATTGTTAATGTCGGCGTCGTGCGCCAAATCATTGTTAGGTGTAGTTCCCACTAATTGGCTGCCTTATATTATTAATGTTGGCTTGGTGCGCCACATCATTGTTAGGTGTAGTTCCCACTAATTGGCTGCCTTATATTGTTAATGTTGGCTTCGTGCGCCAAATCATTGTTTGGTGTAGTTCCCACTAATTGGCTACCTTATATTGTTAATGTCGGCTCCGTGCGCCAAATCATTGTATAATGTTATTATATGGTGTAGTTCCCACTAATTGACTGCCTTATATTGTTAATGTCGGCTCCGTGCGCCAAATCATTCCACCATAAAAGTACTACAATAATTGTACGGCATTGTATTTCTGTATTAACAAATAAACACTTCCTCTCTGGGATAGGTAATGTGAATATAGTGATATCATTTTTTTTCCGATAGGAATTTATTTAAATCTCACCAATATATATTCAGGTTATTTGTACATTTCTAAATGGTAGCAAGCACCTATCACTAGACTGTAATTTAACTGTCGGTCTGTTACACCATAATAGGTCAGTGCCCATCATTACCAGTCGTGACCACCCCGGGCGTTAACCGGACGGTAATTACTATAATGGAACCGACTGGTTCCATACACAAGTTCATTGCACCCTTAGGTAGGATTGTAGCTATTATATCAGTTATGATATATCTAGTTAATGTTTCTGACAGCTGTACAGATCTTACCACGTCAGTTCGAAAGTAAACGTGCTTCTAGTCGTTGAATTTAAAAATCGTCAAAGCTTCAAATGTCAAAGTGTTTATCTAAATATATTTAAATTATAGCGGCTACATTCCTTCTGAATCAACTGACTTTAAGTGAATACTATTTGGTTGTAGACTGCTACATGGGTAGTCTATATAAACTGTTTTAGATAAAATATATTATAGAAGCATTAATTTGTTACCTTAGGTCTTAACGACCTAACTACAACGTAGGATCATGCATGATCACCTGTTCAAAATAAATAAAAGGTAGGTGTGTCATTTTTGGACTAAACGATAGAAAATACCTGCAGGTTAACGACAGATGCTCAACAACACACTGAAGTAAAGACTTTAAGCTTTTATAAAGGGAAACTATAAAGTTCCGTAGTGTTTTATATATTGCAACTCAGCGGATCTTGTTTAATTAGTTCATTGTTCCTATATCAAAAGACAAAGAAAGAAAGCCGCACAAGTCTCATCATATCATCCTGCATTAGCATACAGTAGACAACTATCCTCAAACCTTCAGTTGATGATTATAGCAATTACGCTGACTGATTGACTTGATAGGCAACCAACGGAAACTTTTTTGACAAGCAAAACATGTTTAAATTTAAAACATTATTTAATCAAACGAACTGAAGTTTTGTGCGGAATCAAAAATATTCGGACCAGCCAGCCAGCCAGCCAGCCAGCAAGCCAACACCACTGATGTGTTTGTTCGGCGTAATACACAAGTGAATACGTACATGTATATGATAACGTACGTTGAATAAACGGCATAAATAGCATTATGCAAATTATGAGAGTTAATTCTGCTATAAAAAGCAAAGAAAACCTATGACGTGAACATGTTACAGTTATGGAAAGTTGACACAACCACCCCATTTAACAACATACTTGGATAAACTAAATTTCAATGTTGGCTAGTCCAAAACATTTTTTTTAATGTTCCTATCATCATACTTTTATGTCGATATGCAGATTTATTAGTGCTTCTTATTAAGAGTTTAGTGATAAATCCATAACATAGGACCACATGACCACTAGGGTGATCGTCACTCCCGCAGTAGTTGTACGAAGTACCATTTCCCCTACAGTGGCGATTATTGATACTCGGTGTATATTACATTTCACACCGAGTGACAGCTGTTCGTATACATTTTTCCATGTTGCAGGATATTTACATATTTTCCCTTAGATCTATGGCACATATCATATTTCAAACGTCATATTGATATTTCAACAGGAATGCATGTTGTTTTATCTAATTATATACAGATTTACAAGTGATCCAAAATGCTCTCTCCTCCGTTTGATAGGGTGCTTACCTTATTGTGTGAAACGTTTACGTTTTTTGGGATAGAACTTGGGAGGGGCTACTTCATAATGTACAGGGCTTCTTTGGTACTGAAAAAACAACAAACCGCTTCATATCATTTGTATACGGTCCCAGAGTAAAGAACAAGAGGTGAACTACAGTGATTCTATTATAAATAACCTCTCAGATTGTTCCCTGTAAAGTTTTACAGCAAAGCACTAAGCCCACTAAATAATGCCAGTCAGTGCTTTGTTATTCTGAAAAATGATATAGCCCTCCATAACATTTTCTTATCAATGAATGTTTCGTTCAATAGTTGGAATCATTCACACCGTTATTGTTGTATCCGCCCAATTATAAGAAAAAGAAACCTAACAAAATTGAAACCGATACGATTTACTGAAAATTTGCATTAGACTATATATGGTTTCTTCTTGTTATCTCTCAGATTCCATGGGAGCAACACCCGAGTGTGAACAAGATGATCTTCGCCACTATAGCGGACGGCCAGATACATGATTCAGAAATACTACGGCTAGATGTCTGGGATAAACTCGCCATTCTAGCCGCCGTTGGACTCTTCTTTGTCTTCGTCATACTGTGCATGGTCTGTGTGTTGTCTCCGTTCTGCTTTCTATACAGGATATGTCCCTTTCAGTACGACAGACAACCACAAGGTTAGTATATAATACTGTTTGTCCATTTTCGAACATATTCATATAGAGGTTCCCCACTAGTGATGGTTGGTTATCATGTCTATCTAACTCGAGTTAGTTAATTTTCAAAACGTATAAAGGCACGAGGTTTACCGAGTGACGTGACGTCATAAGTAAAAAATTGACCAATGAAATCACCTCCAGATTGTTACCCACTAGTGGGTAATCAAAACTGTTTACCAACTCATAGCACGTTTAACCAATGAATCGGGAGTGTCGACACCTATAGTGGTTGTGGGAGAAAATCATTTTACCAACAGCCATAAACAATAAGAATGTATTTTTTGTGTTACGATTTTACCTTTAGTTTTTCTATTGACTATTTTTCGATGAATATGTTATCGTAGATAAATTAGGTGTTTGCGAATGACTCTCGATAACTCTTTCTCTTACGATATCTTTTTAACCAGCTAATTCTGATTGTTTCTATATGTGATCTTAGATAATTGAGTTAAGAACACCATCACTACATCTGAGGTAATTATTGTTTTTCTTTTGACAATAGATAAAATGCAAAAGTAATAAACATTGCATTTTTTTCTTTTTTCAAATATTGTGATTGTATTGGTCGACTGAGAGCCGGAATATTTCCCGTTATCTCATTGCGTTGTTGGTAGACACTAGCACAAGGACCCAAATTCTTGAATCTTGAATCCGTTTTAGCCTTACCAATGCGCAACTTCTCGATCATTTCTTTACTCTTTAGAGTAATCATTACCAACGCATCTTAGTTTATTTCGTTCCTTATTGTTGATCATGGCACTTTTCTTCCCCCCTTTAACAACCTTTTACCTTGATGGCCAGTTTTCTCGTTGAGTAGTGGCATGTTTCATAATATACACACTTAACAGATTATTTCATTTGAAAATAACCTGAACTCCTGCAAATTTTAAATCATGAATTAAAAGGTATGATGCACCTGCCCTAGTTTCATGAGTTGTTTAGATAATCAAGATTTCCAACTCTTCAGTCCATAACATCACCGATGAGTCCTAGAAGGACGAAACAGCTGTAAGATTCAGTATAATTTATTCCTGGCATGTTGTATTTATTACAAATCGTCTGTTTTGTAGTATCTCCCTACCCAATGCCTGGTTACGGGGCAACCGAATATGACGTCACCAAGGAAAAGTCAGTGAAGGGGAAGAGACAGGGCCGTCTGGTATCCATCAAGGAGGACTACTCATCGGAATGGTCAGATTCCAGCGGCCCTACAATCATCGAGCTGAAAAAGGTTTAAAAACATTAATTCCATCATTCATGGGTTATTTCATTATACACGCAGATAAAAGTAAGAGACAAGATGTACCGAAATAAATTGTTGTCAAAGACAACGTAAGCTTAAAACAATCCTTATTCATTTCTTAATTCCAAGGTAGTCTTACTTGTGGTCGTCTAGTAGGTATCAACCACTTCGTTTCTTTAAGAGCTATATGGTCTTGCTGTATGGATGAGAGTGGTTGACCTTGCTGTATGGATGAGAGCGGTTGACCTTGCTGTATGGATGAGAGTGGTTGACCTGCTCTATGGATGAGAGTGGTTGACCTTCCTGTATGGATGAGAGAGGTTGACCTTGCTGTATGGATGAGAGTGGTTAACCTTGCTGTATGGATGAGAGTGGTTGACCTGCTCTATGGATGAGAGAGGTTGATCTTGCTGTATGGATGAGAGTGGTTGACCTTGATGTATGGATGAGAGTGGATGATCTTGCTGTATTGATGAGAGCGGTTGACCTTGCTGTATGGGTGAGAGTGGTTGATCTTGCTGTACGGGTGAGAGTGGTTGACCTTGCTGTATAGATTAGAGTGGTTGACCTTGCTGTATGGATGACAGTGGTTAACCTTGCTGTGTGGATAGAGTGGTTAACCTTGCTGTATGGATGAGAGGGGTTGACCTTGATGTATGGATGAGAGTGGTTGATCTTGCTGTATGGATGAGAGTGGTTGACCTTGCTGTATGGATGAGAGTGGTTGATCTTGCTGTATGGATGAGAGTGGTTGACCTTGCTGAATGGATGAGAGTGGTTGACCTTGCTGTATAGATGAGAGTGGTTGACTTTGCTGTATAGATGAGATTGGTTTACCTTGCTGTATGGATGAGAGTGGTTGGCCTTGCTGTATAGATGAGAGTGGTTGACTTTGCTGTATGGATGAGATTGGTTGACCTTGCTGTATGGATGAGAGTGGTTGATCTTGCTGTATGGATGAGAGTGGTTAACCTTGCTGTATGGATGAGAGCGGTTTAACCTTGCTGTATGGATGAGATTTGTTGAACTTGCTGTATGGATGAGAGTGGTTGACTTTGCTGTATGGATGAGAGCGGTTTAGCCTTGCTGTATGGATGAGATTTGTTGAACTTGCTGTATGGATGAGAGTGGTTGACCTTGCTGTATGGGTGAGAGTGGTTGACCTTGCTGTATAGATGAGAGTGGTTGACTTTGCTGTATGGATGAGATTGGTTGAACTTGCTGTATGGATGAGAGTGGTTGAGCTTGATGTATGGATGAGAGTGGTTGATCTTGCTGTATGGATGAGAGTGGTTAACCTTGCTGTATGGATGAGAGTGGTTGACCTGCTGTATGGATGAGAGTGGTTGACCTTGCTGTTTGGATGAGAGTGGTTAACCTTGCTGTATGGATGAGAGTGGTTGACCTGGCTGTATGGATGAGAGTGGTTGACCTTGCTGTATGGATGAGAGTAGTTGACCTTGCTGTATGGATGAAAGTGGTTGACTTTGCTGTATGGATGAGATTGGTTGACCTTGCTGTATGGATGAGAGTGGTTGACTTTGTTGTATGGATGGGAGTGGTTGACCATGCTGTATGAATGAGAGTGGTTGAATTTGCTGTATGGATGAGAGTGGTTGACCTTGCTGTATGGGTGAGAGTCGTTGACTTTGCTGTATAGATGAGAGTGGTTGACCTTGCTGTATGCATGAGAGTGGTTGACCTTAATGTATGGTTGAGAGCGGTTGACCTTGCTGTATGGGGGAGAGTGGTTGACTTTGCTGTATAGATGAGAGTGGTCAACCTTGCTGTATGGATGAGAGTGGTTGTCCTGCTCTATGGATGAGAGTGGTTGACCTTGCTGCATGGATGAGAGTGGTTGACCTTAATGTATGGATGAGAGTGGTTGACCTTGCTGTATGGATGAGAGTGGTTGACCTTAATGTATGGATGAGAGCGGTTGACCTTGCTGTATGGGTGAGAGTGGTTGACTTTGCTGTATAGATGAGAGTGGTTAACCTTGCTGTATGGATGAGAGTGGTTGACCTTGATGTATGGATGAGAGAGGTTGATCTTGCTGTATGGATGAGAGGGGTTGACCTTGCTGTATGGATGAGAGTGGTTAACCTTGCTGTATGGATGAGAGCGGTTGACCTTGCTGTATGGTTGAGAGTGGTTGACTTTGCTGTATAGATGAGAGGGGTTAACCTTGCTGTATGGATGAGAGAGGTTGATCTTGCTGTAAGGATGAGAGTGGTTGACCTTGATGTATGGATGAGAGGGGTTGATCTTGCTGTATGGATGAGAGCGGTTGCCCTTGCTGTATGGGTGAGAGTGGTTGACTTTGCTGTATAGATGAGAGTGGTTGACCTTGCTGTATGGGTGAGAGTGGTTGACTTTGCTGTATGGATGAGAGGGGTTGACCTTGCTGTATGGATGAGAGTGGTTGACCTGCTCTATTGATGAGAGTGGTTGACCTTGCTGTATGGATGAGAGTGGTTGACCTTGATGTATGGATGAGAGTGGTTGATCTTGCTGTATGGATGAGAGCGGTTGACCTTGCTGTATGGGTGAGAGTGGTTGATCTTGCTGTATGGATGAGAGTGGTTGACCTTGCTGTATGGATGAGAGTGATCGAACTATGACTCAATTTATTATTGTTATGATCGTTATTGTTCAGTAACGCAACCAAGAGTCTATCAGAATCAGAATAATACTGCAGGTTAATGTTCGTTTTCAACACAACTACAGTTAATAAAATATTGAACTGAAAGTTAAGAACAATTGTAAACAAAGAGCATACGTGTGTCTTAAATTTAAAAATAATATGATCGTTTATTTTTATACATTCTCTGAACCAGTATATTGTTGTTTTTTTTACTGTATATAATGTTTATTATAATACCAATGCACATCAAATTTCGCCATTATTAATCGGAATACCTGTATACTTGCAGACGAGTCTCCGCGGTCCCCCGTCCTTCCCAGACGACTCGTCGTTTACAGATGAGGCCCACGCCATACTGAAGTCAGCAGATATAGAGTTCTCTCTAAAATACAATAAACTCGAAGGGAAACTGTCGTTGAAAATTTTACAGATTAAGAACTTATCTTTGCAAGATGTCAATTCTGTAATATCCCCGTATGTGCGGGCCAGGTTTTACAGAGCACCTAAACAACTGTTCAGTTTCGGCAAAGAATATGTGATAAATAACCTAGATAAAGAGGTTCAAACTAAAATGCAAAAGGCCAGTGAAAATCCTGTTTTTAACGAGAGCTTCCAGCTGGATGTGGACCAGAGAGATTTGTCTCTGTATACTCTGCGGCTACACCTCTGTGACTTCGACAGGTTCACCAGACACATCCTCCTCGGAGAGGTTACCGTCATCATCCGGAAATTAGAATTACCAGACGCAACGGAAGTGACGTACACAGAGAAGATGGAACAACCTGCAGAGGTAAAAATAAAGCTGTGATGGAGATGAGACTTCGATCAACTTTAGATTTATGGAAGCTTCATGTCAAAATGTATATTTTATTAGCAGAAAAATGTATCATTGGTATGTGTTTCCATCTAAAAATCACTAATTGCTGTAAATTCTTTTCGTTAGCAGTTGTCAGGTTTCTATTCAGGTCAGATCGCATTATGTAGTGTTAATATAGGAATTACCTTCATTTACTCCGGAGACATAGATAATTTATGATGTACGTATATTTTATATTCACTCAGGAGGACCTCGGAGAGATATGCCTTGGTATGAACTACCTTCCTACAGCCGAAAAGTTGTACCTGACAGTGGTCCGCGTCCATGGTCTCAAAGCTATGAACAGAACAACCAACACAACAGGTACATGTACTAAACAACACAGTAGGACGGTGCATAGACTTCATTTGCAACCAACGAAATATTTTCAACCTCTTGCATTTTCGCTTTATGTTATGAAACCACACCATTTGGCCCTTCATGACTTCGTGTGCTGATGGTTTCTGTATCATACTGCTAGTTTGTTTAAACGTGCTTTCTTGTTGGAATTGATTTCGTTGGGGGTTTTTTCATATTAAATCGAAAATAAAACTGATATCATTATGCTGTTTCAGATGCCTATGTGAAAGTTGTACTGATGCATGAAGGAAGACAACTGAAAAAAGTGAAAACTGTGATAAAGATATCGGACTTAAACCCAGATTTCGACGAAACATTCGCATTTGACGTACCAAGTCAGGAGCTAAACAACGTTTACTTTTGTGCCGCTGTGATACATGCAAATAAAGATCAGAGGCAACACAGACTCATAGGCCGAATGTATTTGGGTCCGAGTTTCGGTACAGATGCACATTCGCACTGGGTTGAAATGACACAGAATCAACGGAAACAGGTCACGTGCTGGCACAAACTGCATTGTTGATGTCTCTATATACTAGACCTTCTTTTCCTGGAAAAAAAGTCACAAAGCCCTTAGACAAGAACAAATCACCATGGAATAGAGCGTCATCAAATGAAGACATATCGACAGTAATTTATAAATGAAGAACAATGGATTACCTTGCCTATGATAAAATTAATTTATATTTTCAATACCTGGAAGCTGTCTTGTGCAGCAAGTGGACATTTGTCGTAAAAATCAGATCTGCTGTCGTTTAAGTCATACAAAACACATCACACCATCAATGTATAATGGTCCGCTATTTATAACCGTGGTAACCTTAAGGAAATTCGTTAACTCAAGGTTTTAATCTGGAACAAAGTACTGAAGCGAAGAAAATTAGTTCAATCAAGAGTTCCCTAAATTTCGATAATAAGCAAAAGGCCTCAAAGTATAATCAATTCTGATTAAGAGTCTTATAGATATTGAGCTTGATAACCTAATCAATTTTCTATTCGACATAAGGCCTGCTAGTCTTAACAATTGTAAACCAGACAATAGGCATCATAGTTTGATCGTTTGCCAAATAAACAATAGGCTTGCTTGTCCTATCAGTTGTCTTTTAGACAATAGGATTACTATCTAACAACTAGTCTGATCAATTTACGAACTATAAGGTTTCGAGTGTATCTATAACTTTGCTAAAAAAATAATTTAACGTATTTATATAAACAGTCATTTAAAAGTAAGCTCGTAGCCAAATATATCTCGAAAATAAGCCGTTTTTGAAAAACACACGTTCTTGAAAATATGCCTTTTGTTTCCATGTATGAACCACATTCCGTTATTTATTCTTGAACCATTTGATTAAAAAATGGTAATTAAAAAACCTGTAAAGCATAAATTCCATTCGAAAAAGAAAGAACTTGAAAAAAAACCAATTGATGATCTACTATATAAATGACTTCGAAAATGAAACAACCCTAAAAATAAGCCGGCTTCGAAAATAAGCCTTTGATTACTTACTGAAAACAAAAATAAGTCGCGGCCTATTATTGTGATTTTAAGATATATGGTTACAACATACATATTTTGAAAGTAAACATACTTTTAAATATTGTTATTTTAAACGGACATGTACGTTTCTATCATAAAAGAAATGTTATTGACATAACCTAATGTAATATTTTAGAGTTATTTATTTGAAATATGTTTTGGTAAAGCAATATTTATTTTGTGTATAGTTTGCATTAAATAAGGACTGCTGTTTTACGGATAGCATAGCAAATTTTATTTAATGGATTTCCTGGATCATTTTATTGGCAACCATTGTACAGGAGGGATGAATTATCTTTGTGTAGCAGTTCTAGTATTGTTAGTATTGATTAGTTAATAATAAGGTGAAATAATCATGTTTGAATGAGAATATTACAATATTAGTTTTAAAAATCATAGCATTAGCGGATTATCTATTCATGAGTACATATACAATGTATTGTAATATAGTATTATGTATACATATAGCTTTAGCGGATGTTTTTTACACATACTCTTCTGTTATGTTTATTTAAATGTATATATACAGTATACTTGTTACATAAAGGAAAGAAGTTAAGTTTAAATATGAACAAATTTTCGACATTGTAATTGTTACCTTTAATTAAGACCGAGCATTCCAGCACTTTACGAATGTTCAGTTGATATATAACATTCAAGTTGAATAAACTTGATTGTTTTCTTTTTAGATTTGCTGTTATTGAGACTGAAAAGGGTTCTTCATGAAATTGTTGAAAACGAAACAAAGCTCGAGGGGTTCGGTTTAAAGAATTTTCTACACGTCATTGAAATCTTTAAGATCATTTGATACAACGTCAATGTTTTTGTTTCAGTTTTTTATTATTTCCACATATCCCCTAAATCAAATAATACTGAATAGCTATTAATTCTATGTCGCCATGTATGAAATATCCTGCTGATGGACCGGTAACACCTGACAAATATAATAAACCATCAATACCACGTAAGACCCCTTATTTGTTTTATTAGAATGGTAGACCCATCTTTTAATTTTCGTCGGCGACTTGTTCAAAAAGATACATTGACAGTGACACACAAAACCCCCCCAGAGAAAACGAAGTCTCAACAAAACTGTAATTCGAATAAAACAATCGATTAAACAAAGGGAAAATATGTAGAAGTATTAATATGAAGACTTTTTTAAGGATAAAATAGATTAAGACCAGGGGTTTCGGAATGGTAAGCGTCTTCTTCTTTATAAACATCCTCCATGTTTTGGGTAAAATCGTAGTAATGTTATGTCCTTATAGCAATAACCAGAGAAGTGACAATAAACCAGCAGGGCACCGTTATGATCATAATTAAAATCATCGATCCTCTTAACGCAACATAATTCTTCCTGATCCTGATGGTGACCATGAAAATCGTTCATAATCTTCATCTTCCTGCACTTCTTGTTACCTTGGGTTGAAAGACTGGCCGTCAGCAGACAATACCGATCACAGTCATTGTAATATTTAGATAAAGCTCTGTAATGCCGAATCATCTGCGACACGTAAACACCGAAGTTTGGGAAAGAAAAATACAAGACGTAACTATCTAAATGGTGTAGTGTAAACCAATGGTAATGGATCGTAAAATGTGAAGTATAATATAGTATACGTAAAGATATTATATTTCGTATTATAACTAAAGGAGGAAAACATGAATTCCATGTCTTTTACCTCAGATGTGCTGCCAACGTTTTCAATAGAACCCATTTCATTGTCTAAGATGGTAAATCAACATCAGGGAATAACACACTTACAAACAATCGGCTTATTAGGTATGAGCAGTTGATACGTAACAACTGAACTGCAAGGTTTCCCCTAATTCGTCTTGTTCTATCTTTTCTATCTTATACATATACAACATGCTACTGGGGTAAATAGTGATCATTGTTTGTTGTGAATAAATATTATTGCAAAAAATGTGTCCGACTCATTTTAATAATATTTAATATATTTGAGTGTGCTCACGTTCATTGAATTTCTCCTCCAAACCGTCGCCAGTACTCATGGTACATAACTTTTGCTTTCTTTCAAGACACAACAACAATGTTACCCTTGCCCTTTAGCAATACGTACAGTGAGCATGTTGCATGAGACACATTTCATGTCATGTTACCTTTTCTTTATAAATGATGACATTTCAGCCTCTCGTGCGTTTCGAGTTTCCAAATAAAAGTATATTTGCTCATCCAGGGTCGAAGTATAAAAAATATATAAACATTTTAGCCAAACTAGCTAAAATTTGACTGCGACATTTCTTTTACTTATCTTCAATGGTGAGGACTTGTTCACTCCGTCTTAGATCTAAAATCTATATGACGGAAATCACCATGACAGAATCTACATGTGGTTTAACAAACGCTTACCATTGGTCAGTACATAGCTTTTCACTTCTATTTCAGTGACCCCTAGGAAAATGTTGTAGTCAGCTGCACATTTTCTTCCATTGTTGCGTATATAATTAAACCACAGCGTCGTTACAAAAGAAGAGATGAAGGAAATATCAGCTAAACATAATTTGAACTTATAAATAGCAACCTAAACTGCGTTCATTTGCAATTCTTGAAACAGCGTTTAAAAGTCACAGAATGAGCTGAAGAAGATTAAAGACGAAAGAGGTAAATTATAGAGGGGTAGACGAACAGCAGAATAGGTGTTTATATGTATTTCCGTAATATTGAATACAGCACACTTAGTTGATTTGAGCCCACTGTAGGCATTGGAAACCAAACTTTTATTTTTCCCTATGCACTCTCGCGATAGTGCCCCGTGGGATAGTCAGGCTACTGAGTCAGAATACTTATCAGTGGAGATCATTGTTGTATGATATCAGCTGTTGCATTGTTGTCCTATCATCAGTGGACATTTTCGACTATTGACCTCAGCTGTTGCCATGGCAAAATACAGCAAATAGACAAACTCACATTCGATAGTTCTCAATAGTTTAATTAATGATGATCAATGCAAAGAAAACTCCATCATGAAAGGCATCCATACATTTAAACAAGACTTTCTCTTACAAATTACAAGTTTCATGAATCAAGTGCTCAGTGGATAATACGTTTTGAATTAAGACAGTGTAGTGTCATTATGCCCTTTACTGCAGGTAGACAACCTACGTACGGACACCATGCATTGACACGTTCTCTTTTCAGCCCATCTACACAACTATTGTATACAGGGCCACACGATTGAAAACATACAGGATAGATCTTAAAAGCAAACAAAAGCAGAAGTAAGGTAGAACAGTTTATGAAGGATATCCATGACCACCTTAAGTGACGTAATAGACATTCCTAACGTCGTGACAAGGATGTGTTGACTGGGGCATTGTTCAACATTCTCTGTATTGTTGTCACAGGCTGATGCACGCGGTGTTATTTCTGTCATATATCTAAGTGTTAACTAAGATAAAATGTTACACTACTAGTTACGCTGGTAAATTTCCTCTAATATCACTGTGCAGTACATGTCCTTTATAAACAAGATGTGACCAACGCTACTCATCACAAAACATTTTCAGCAGTTTCTTGTCCCATTCTGCATGTCCCTTGTGATTACTGTAGAATCAATTATTTTCGTGGGATTAAAATTTCGTGGTTTTCATATACTAGCCTGTTTCAAAGACGTTATCTTTCGCTGATTTCTGATTTTCCCCTAACTATATCATACCAAATTAATGTTTTCGAGGGGATTTTATTTCGTGGTTTCTTATTATCCACGAAATAAACGAAATTTAATGTCCCACGAAAAATTATGATTTTACAGTATATGGCGATATGTTTCGATTAAATTCTTTACTTGTGAGGAGTAACGTGACGAAACAGCGACATTTGAAAAGAACTGAAATGCTTCAATCCGTTATATGACCGTAAGAGGCGACTAACATGCGACCCTTGCAGATGGATATTTCTATTTTCGCTTTCGGACAACTTCGATCTCTCACCTTTCAATTCACTCGCAGCTACTTCTTTGCGTTTCGTAGGTTTGTTCCAGTATGGTTAGCCAGTGGTAAGAATAATGTGACCGGGTCGAGAATCATGTCACTTTAGCTAAGGTTAAGGTCAAGTCTGCCACTGCACATGTTATAATAGCGAAGAAGAGTTCCACTCAAAGTTCTATCAACCTAGAGTAGTCTTCCTTTTATAAAGAAGATGAAGCACAAAAAGGATTTTTTTCCGGCTTAGGATTATTCCCTTGAACACTACTTATTAATCGTGTAGCAATGTTTCAAAACCGACTGGTCCCTTTGTCAGGTTATGACTGAGTAAGCGATTTGACAAAGGGACCAGTCTGTCTTGAAACGTTGCAACATGTTTAATAGTACTTGTTTGTGTACAAAGTTAAACTTTGATTTACATGTTTCCAAACTGATGAATCCTATTGAAAATAGTTACAATTGTAACAATAAAGTTAAACCTGTTGGTACTTTTTATTTCAAGTTATTTCAGTGCTATGAAAATACATCATAACATTATTTACACTAAGACATTCCATTGGTAGGTCACTTTACCATAACAACAGAGTGACGTCATCATCTGATTACACCGTTTTATATTAGTTTAGCTGTAGCCATGGTGTATAGTGTGAAGGATAACAGTTTTATCATGTTGAGATAATATCCAATAACACTGGCAAAAAAAGAAATTAACATAAATACGTATCACACTAACTATGAGTAACAGCTTAGTGTAATAAAACCAATCATTATAATAGTAACTGTGAGTAACAGCTAAGTGTAATAAAACTAATCATTATGACAGTAACTGTGAGTAACAGCTCAGTGTAATAAAACCAATCAATATAACAGTAACTGTGAGTAACAGCTAAGTGTAATAATACCAATCATTATAACAGTAATTGTGTGTAACAGCTAAGTGTTATAAAACCAATCATTGTAACAGCAACTGTGAGTAACAGCTAAGTGTAATAAAACTAATCATTATGACAGTAACTGTGAGTAACAGCTAAGTGTAATAAATCCAATCATTATAACAGTAACTGTGAGTAACAGATCAGTGTTATAAAACCACTCATTATAACAGTAACTGTGAGTAACAGATAAGTGTAATAAAACAATCATTATAACAGTAACTATGAGTAACAGCTCAGTGTAATAAAACCAATCATTATAATAGTAACTGTGAGTAACAGCTAAGTGTAATAATACCAATCATTATAACAGTAATTGTGTGTAACAGCTAAGTGTTATAAAACCAATCGTTATAACAGTAACTGTGAGTAACAGCTCAGTGTAATAAAACCACTCATTATAACAGTAACTGTGAGTAACAGCAAAGTGTAATAAAACAATCATTATAACAGTAACTGTGAGTAACAGCTAATTGTAATAAAACCAATCATTATAACAGTAACTGTGAGTAGCAGCTAAGTGTAATAAAATCAATCATTATAACAGTAACTGTGAGTAACAGTTCAGTGTAGTAAAACCAATCATTATAACAGTAACTGTGAGTAACAGCTCAGTGTAATAAAACCAATCATTGTAACAGTAACAGTTCTTCGTATTCACTGCATTTAGAGCTACATAATATACATACAAAATTCAATGCGGCAGATTATATCATTTTTATTTAACTTCTGCTTTCATTTCGTATTCTCCAGAAGTAACGGAACGCCAAAGCTATATTAACGTGTCCATATTCTTCATTATATATGCAACTGGTTTTTCTCCGAATTTTTTCCTCGTTTAAAAGAAAATGCATGGAATTCCTGGAAATCGTAGCATACGAAATATTGATGTAGGCAGAGTTAAGGCAAACAGGTGCGAGATAGATAAAGTATGGGAAACTCTTAACAATCAATTAGGCGTTTGTTTAATCAGAGTTTTCAGTGCGATTAAAATAGTTTTGAACCGGTTTATACTGCCTTGATTCCTAGCGAAGAGCGTTTGGATGCAGCCTTTCAACTAGAGTATACAGATGTCTGTTTGTACTAGCGGAGATAGGCTGGTTGATGCCTTAGCTTTAGAGGACATAGACTAATCCTGAGGTTGATTTGAACTGTCATATTTCTGGAGAATTATTATAAGAATGGCCCATATCCTTATTTGACACATCATTTCTAAGGAAACTCACCAACTTTTCCCAAAACATGTACTCCGTCGCTCGGAGGTAGGTATGAGTTTGAAGAAACAGTTCAATGTCCGGAGGCAGGGGTGTAAGGCATTTGTTAAGATCGTCCAAAAGTATGACCACCAGATGGCGTTTATTGTCTACCAGACCTTTGCAGTTTGCCGCTCGAAACTCCATCAAACACCACTGGCTTGCGAGGAAGTGTTCGGACAATACGACCACTGTGCGACGGCTCGTCTTAACAGCCTCGAAAATATTATCAGTAATTGGAACTCCCGGTTCAAAATGACGATTGTGAAGACACAAACTAAGAAGATAAGGCGGTCCTTCCAAACGACCGCACATTATCTTTACCAACGATTCGTCCTTACAGCTATATGAAATAAAAGCATCGTACTTGATCTTATCACATCTGATAGATTTTGATTTTTTCTGTTTCTGCTGAAGTCTCTTATATCGAAAAGACACAATCCATCTGCGATAGAAAAGACATATAAAAATTGCCGAGATACAGCATATTACACTTGCTACCGGTATAATTATAACAGCGTTAGTGTTACCATAACTATCCGAAGGATGACATTTCCTGTCAAGTGGTATATCTCCTAATAAACGCCCTTTATATTTCAATGGGGTCCTACAGCTCTCAGTCTTCAATGAGTGGTATTGTGTTACAACAGGATCTGACGAGTACTTCAAAAACTGTAAAAAGTGATACTGGTCACATCGACATGAAAACGGATTGTCATACAACATTATCACACCTGGGTACATTGACTTCAGTGTCGTCAGAACTGTAGAGTTGATTACACGGATCTGATTGTGACTCATATTGATACTGAAATGCTCTCTTGTGCCATGGAATGATCCAAAATAAATGTTTGACAGGCTGTTATGGGAGAGGTCGACTAACCGTAGATCTGGGAAGTCCTTTGAGTAATTGCCTTTGACAAGTTTTTCTGGTATTCTATCCAAATGCAGACGTGAAAAATTTAATATACGAAGGGACGGGAATGATCCTTTCTGAAGAAATTTGCTTGTAAATTTGAACTTATTTTTTGTTGAGCAGGATTTTTCGTAATAGGTTAAATGTTTGTAGTTCCATATGGGTATATTTTCATAGTGTCTAATCCTGACGTTTTTGTTGGTGTGGCACTTCACTCGAATCACTAGTACTGACACGTTTCGTTCCACATAACGTTCAAGGGAGGGAGGGATGTAGCAGGGATACTTAGAGTTGACTTTGTCACTAAGATTAGTGTACAGAATATCAAGTTCGCGGCATGTTATAACATGTATCGAGTCTATCACCTCCATCGTCTTCAATGTGAATGGAACGAGTTCAAGCTTACTGGACAGATCATATTTATAAAAATTACCTATTTTACACGAGTTGATATATAAAGCGAACAATCCACGAGCTTTCACTGGTTGACGTAGAATAACAGTTCCATTAATCCCACACTTGATATAAACCTGCATTTGTTTCACCATGTGTTTCTCCGCCCAGGACTGAACCACCGTAAAGTTCCATTGAGTATTGTCTGGAATAGAACAGTTGAGGTCTACTCGTGAGTCGTGAAGATGTCGGACGCTGGTACACTGGTATGGCGATAACGTCTTCCTTTTTTCATTATATTCTGTGCTGTTGACATATATAACTGTATGTAGTGTTAATACCGTATATAAACAGATCATATATAGACACATGGTGACCGTTCAGGATTTATACTTTAACTGAGAATAACGACAAAGTGATAATACGTATTAAGTGTGTCCCGCATTCCGAACCCACGCTACCAGACACCACCCCTTTAGTGATGATGTCAGTTTATGTATACGGATGCACACCTACACGTGTATTGTGTATGGTCACTCGTGCATGGACAAACTATAAAGCATCGAGTTACAAAATACATATTAAACAATGTTTTTAATCAGGACATAACGCGGGCGTACTTCCTAGAGCCGACACCAGGATATAACCATACTATGCATTCAACAGAATCATTTTAAAATGATTTGATTAAAAAATCCATAACGGTTATATGTCTGTTTAAATTAATTGAAATGACGTAACTTCACTCGGAGAAAGATTATTTTAAGTAAACGCCATTGTCATGTGATCTTAAATGTTTGAAAAATGTAAAACAATTAACAGACACGTAAACAGAAAAACAAGGCAAGAAAGCGTTAATCGTTTAGAAATTCAGTCAGCCATATTGAGAGTTAAACATGCTTATCCCTTTCACCACTGTAGACCGTAATGGACTCATCCAGATCAATGTATGGTAGCGTCTACTGAAGTTACCTAGGGGTGAAAGGGTTAAGTAAATGATGTTGATATGTGGTAGACGTTACACTGATTCCCTGTGTTGTGTGGCAGTAAAAAGACCTCTTGAGTTCAGATCCGGCGGAAATTGAACTAATTTGTATATGAAATCGATTCTGTTAGTTTGACAAAATGAGAAAATATCGGCATTTGCTATATCATTAGATGGATCTTGTTTCATAGAGAACCCAGTAATTGACCTAATACTCGCAAAAATAGTGGAATGGTGCTTTGTAGTGATTATAATAATGAGGTGACTAAACACTTAACGCTTCCACCTAAACTGGAATGAGGTACAGTTACGAACGAAAATATTTATTACAAATCAGACCAGCACACAGGTACATGCATGCATGCTCAATTTTGCATTTTCTATTCGTTATTTATTAATCAGATTTTTAGAAATACTATTCAAGTCAGCCAAATAGAATGTTGAAAACATTAAAACCTTGATTAAGCATTTGATTCCGTTTCTCTTTCTCCAATTACTATTTCTTTAAAATCTGCGTCTTCCGATGTTATATAAATAGGATATAGTCCAAGGGAGATAACTTCTTCATTTCAAATCAGCGTTCATGGCATTTTTATATAAGTATCATTACTATTTTCATCGGAATTTGAAAAAATGAAAAATGTATCTAACAGCGTTCATGAAGCTTTCTGAATTATCGGGATAGCATTATTATCGATTCTGGTTAACTTATCTTGGTAATCTAATCAGAAAGCAACATAACCATATTAATAGTTTGTCTTTTTTCCGGAAGCAACATGTTTAGAATAAAACATAACCGTAACGCATCACAGTTTGTTTAAAAGTTTATTACAAAGTAATACTAGTAATACGTCAACTATTCTCACTACAAAATGTATTAACAACAATGAAAAACGATAACAATCGCAGAAAATATAATATATTATATTATTAATAGTGAGAGAAAAAATTATATAAAAGATACACAACATTGTTTTTTTAATCACAATATTTTCCTTCTTTAATTATACAAAACTGTTACCAAAATTACCGACCTGAAATGTATGTTTCAATTAGGAAGATTTATACGATTTATAAGATTACTGCGACCAAAATGTTCAAGTTGTAAATGTATAAATAAATATTGCTGTTAAGCTTCATTCCTTTCATATTTTAAACGAATAGAGTATACCAATTCACTGAATGCCTTTAAACAAATCCTAGTTTAAGAAGTAAATAAAATAAGCATGCTACGGTGTCAAACACAAGGTAGAAATAAGTAAAAAAAAAAAAAAAAAAAAAACCCAAAAGGANATCCAAAAATAAAACTTAATAAAAGTATCTTCATATCAAAATTAAATTAGAATTAAATCTAGGTTTGCCTGCAGGGTAAAGGATTGTTATTTTAAAATGCTGTTTCCTCAATCTTAAAATCACATGGCGGTCACCTTGGTCTTAGACACATTTAACATTCAGAAAGTATTTGAAAATAAGAGAAATTTATTTTGATATGAACTTTATCTATTTTACAACAAGAATTAAGCAAATGTTTCCAAAATATATTAATCACTTTTGTTAGACCGGATTGAAGCGCGCGGGGGTTTTAATGTTGGAGTAGCCGGAGAAAACCCATACATATCATCTTACATAACCAAAAATTTCATAGCAATATTTTACTGTACAAATCCCAGGAACAATCGAACTGAGATTTTTACTGACACCATCTAATGAGATACGTATTGGTATTCTTCAACCCATATTAGGAAATGAGTATAACGCGTGCATGTTTAATGAGTCTACGGACACTTCTTTAATTCTGAATTAAGGAGTCATTCCAAACAATCTTCTGCCTAGTCATATTGAATTTTGAGCAAATTAGATGTTTACCTTTTATTGTCTGTCGTCAGTTATTCCAACAATCACTATTTGGATTCACCATCTTCTTTAAATACTTGCATGCAGAAGAACAAATCACATCTATGTTCAAATCCACATTTCTAACAAAGCGGAAAGATAATTTTCTATTGACATACAAAATATAAAAATATATACAACATTGAAATGAAATAAACTTGCAGATAAGATATATAGATATACAAAACAAACTGAGATACGGGGAACAGAATCATATACAAACAATATTTCATTCGTAAATTCATATTTATTGACAAAATCAAACTTCATTATGAGGTAGTGAATCACCTTGTGCATTTATGTTCTTCGAATGTATAAGGTTGTAAACGCTTGCAGTGGCGGATCCAGAGACCTATCTGGGGGGGTTTCCAAATTTCCTGGGGGGGGGGGGGGGGGGTTCCATGTCGGGAAAAATTGAGGAAAATGTTGAAAATACATGATTTTCAAAGAACATTCTCAGGGTGTGGGGGTTTCCTGAAGCCCAAAAAACCCCTCTGGATCCGCCAATGGCTTGTGCACAATATCGTTTACATCAGTGGAAACTGATTCTATAGAAAGGTCACATATAAAGAACTTTTGATTAGATACTTATATACAATGTATGCAAATTCTCATTTGAGAGGCACTCGAGAAATCTCTCAGCATTCTCTCAATGTCCCTACGAGATACTCTAGATATTTAAAATAGGCTAAATGTTCGGCACTGCACAGTGTGTCTCAAACGACGACTGTCATTACCATTTCCATTTATGTTAAGGTTTGTTATATCCAAGTCCAGGTATAACACTTGTCACAAGATTTCACTGCACGCTACATTCATCCGATGTACCAATGATTGTATTGCCATCTACAAATAAAAACAGGAACATGTACACAGATGAGCCGTCTATCAAGCCATCACGTCAGGTAAGGTTATTACATAACATTAGATACTCTTTAACTGACTTTTTCCTGAGAAATAATCAACATACATGTATGTGTGCATGTATTATGGTTAGAATATTTAACGAGGGTGAGACAATGTTGAAAATAATAATTTTAAAAGGCCGCTTGTGGTCCGAGTTAATTATTGTTTCCAACTTTATTTAATCCCCAGTAATATATTCCACCATAATAAACAAACATGTGCTGATTTTGTCTACTCTACCAAGTAAAATATCGTGAAAGTTGTTTCCGTGTTGATCTCAGTGTCCCTACGAGATACTCTAGATATTTAAAATAGGCTGTTGTTTTGCACGTGCTAACATTTGTCTCGCGGTGTCCTATTTTTCATATTTTCTTTATTTTATCACTTCAGACCATGTGGACCCTGGTTTGTGTATTTAACCTGGATAAATTTCAATCGCCATTTGGTCGACAGACAATAAACAAAACTAATGTCATATTTTAAACCAGACGTTTCTTTCGATGAAATCTACCAATCTATCGACATTGGTCGTCAACATATGACATTAACATTTGGCAGATTTTCAAACGCTGTTTCAAATCACCTTCGCTGTAAGTTCGGTGGAACATTCTGACTGTGTGTTTGACAGGTTTAAAGTAGATGTAGAGGTTATATATATATATATCGATTTTGTTCGTTCGCTGGCAAATGCATCGCTGGCGGTTACCCTCAGTCGACAGTCCCGCGATTCACTTGTTTACCGGTACATTTGTGGGGGAGATTTTGGGTAGAACATTTGTCTGTTGGAAAATAATATACGCACGCGCATGCTCTATCGTCAAATAATCCATGGCTGTAGACCAATGAAAAGTGTCTTTACATTGCAAACGTGAGAGAATGTAAATTATTATAAAATGAATGTGTAGCATTGTAATAAAGGTATGAAATACATAGCAATTCAATTACATAGTCAACGGATACAACAGTTATTAAAGTTAAAATATAGCTAAGCGTAATTATAATTTTACTCGGTGCCGTCCCTATGCACAATGAGGTGGGGTTTTACGTTACAGAGCGTGTATATACTTACAAAATAATATTAAATTTGACGGTACGATGATAAACAGTAATTTGAACATGTTTGATGAGGTTGGCGTTTCGATATATTTTTTTTTTGCACTGATTTTTCTCTGTATACACGCCGTTATGGGACTTGTATTACCTTGGTCTTTCCTTTTCTCAATGTCCCTGTAACACACTGGGCATTTGTCGAATTCGAACGTACACTGTAGACAGTGTGACTTGTGTTTACATGGTTCGTAGGTAATTTGGGCTTCCTGGCTCGTACACTCCATACAGTTCATCGACATCCGTGAAAAAACTGCGTTCTCTCCGCCTGCAGACGTTGGGCGACGTCTCGACTGTGCTGCCTTTTGTTTTCTGATATTTATAATGACTAACTGTCATAAATGCTACAGAGAATAATGGGTAATGCATCAAGAAGAAAAGAGTGTTAAAATCTTAAAGTTGCAACGTCGAATATTTCTAATTGGTTATATTTATTTATTTAAAATAAATAATTTGAAATAAAATAGTTTACACAAAACTCTACAATATCAATAATATTCCTATAGATGCAATCTTTATTTAATCACATACGTTATAAACTACTACAAATATATGAGGTTGCTCTTGTTACAACTATAAACTCATCCTGTCTTAGAAACCGTTACTCCGGGATACACAAGTCGTTATTTATAGCAAAGCATTATGGATAAACGACATCCGGCTTAAACGCTATCAGAAATAATATTTCAAAAACAGTTAACTGTTTTTTGCTTAAGTATGACTCATAAAGCTGCAGAAAGACAAGGTCAGCTTAGCCTACGACACACACTAATCATGTAATAACTTAACATAACTATTATTTTCTTTTGGTTTTAGTTCTGCCGCTTTATTCAACTGTACTCACGTCTGCTCTGCACATTTGACGACGGCCCTACGCACGTCTATTTCCTGACATACGTCAATAGGAGTTTGCTGCAACTTGTTATGAACATCAACTTTGGCGCCAAACTGTATCAAAAGACACCCAACCTTGACTTTTTCCACACTACTGACCTTTGAACTGGCCATCAGGAGGTGAAGCAACTACAAAAGAAACATTTTCTTAACACATTATATGTTCAATACAGGGACATGTACACCAAACCGAAACGAAGTAGTGTTTGTTTGTTTGTTTGTTTGTTCGGTGTTGAACGTTCTAGCAACAGTCAGTCATACGATGACGGTTGCTTACGAGGACACAACCTTAAAGAGAAACTAACGTAAAATAGGAAAGAAGAAGACAATAAAGATAGGAAACAAAAAGATCCCAAACGTTGCCTTCGTAGAAGGCACGGAAGAAAACCGAAGATTCTGCAGGGGGTCCAACATTAGTCACCTTACACGTTTATTGGGATTCAGCAGGTCTTTTCCTGACTTCTTCAATGACACCTAAGTAGAAGACAATGGAAAAACGATTCGTCGGAAGGGCCACATTAATCGCCTCCTACGATCATGCAGTTGGGTACATCATGTCCATTCTTTCTCCGAATCTGCACAGGTTGCGAAGTTGTAGTACAATGCGTTGATATGTGCTTCTTTTTTAATAGGCTTAAACCATTGGTTAATATTTATTGTTAATTGGAAATAACATACCATCTGATTCTAATTTATTAATACATACGTTTTGTTGTATTCGTTTTTGGTTTTGTTTCATTTTGTTTAACGTCATTTGAACATTTAAGGTCATTCAACGACATGCCTCCATGTGTGTAATCTATGCGTGTATGTTTGTGCGTATTCTGGAGGCGATTTGTTGATGAAATTGGCTCCGTGCGATAGCCGGGATCTTATACCAACTATATAGTGCTTTCTCACTGAAATATCATGCCAAACACTCGGTTGCATTATACTGGCCACAGATTACTGGACATGATGAACAATTCCATTTTAAGGACTTTAGTATGTCCCTGGGGACAGAACTCATTGCCTTTCTCACTTGGGCGAACGTTCTACATTATTAAGTTCAAAAGTGAGATATTGCTTAGCATGGCGCTACGATAAATGATAGATGTTAGGAAGAAGAGATAAAATAGTTGTATCCTAAATGTTGCAATAGGTGCAGCAGATTAATTTTGGTCATTCTTTTGTCCAAACCAAATGTAGAGGGAAAATAATCAAATCCCGAATTCCACAGACGCTTCACACATAAGCTTCCCCTTACAACATGCAGTGGGTAACAGCGGGTGTATTTTTCACTTAATCTCCGGTCTATATGAGTGTGGTTTGTTATAAATGAAAACAAGCATGATCACTGGCTGTCATTAGTATATATTTAGTTTATTGTAAATTAAAAATTTCACAGTAGCTCTAATTTGTTCGTTTTTACGGTCTATTGTTAGGGGAAAAAAAGAAAAACACTGCTACTTTGTTTATGTTAACGATCTATTGTAAGTTAATAGGTAACAAAACATGGCCACTGTCTCTGATGTTTTTTTTAATTTTTACTATATAATGAAAATAAATATGAACACTGGCTCAACTATGTTTTGAATGTGTGTATACTTACCGTTTGTTGTGAAGTGCTTTTTCCAAGTACAATGTGGAGTGGTGTGTTTCCCTTCTTTTCTTTTAATGTCGCACCGGCTCCTTTAACAGACACGACATATAAGAAAGTCACGTCGCTTGCTCAAAGGTCGTTTTGAAAATGTCATTATTTCCATTACGAAATACGCAAATATGTGATTTAAATTAAGATAGATCAAGCAATTATTAGTTAACAAACATCGTAATGTGTATCATGAAGGTATAAAACATCAGACATGCCAAGTTTGAGAAAATTTGGACATGCGAAATATCATTTCAAATACATGTACATATATATAATAATGGTTTTGTAAAACCGTCATCACTTAACTACATGTAGAAGAACTGCAATGTTTTGTCGATTGATCGAATTCATAGTCACATATTTTATAGCAATATTACCATTATCCAGCAGAAGTTTGATCATGTGGTAGTAACAGCGTTCTGCCGCCAGGTGGAGCGGCGTCATCTCTTCATTGGTTCGAATATCTATGGTTGCGTTACCCTATAACGTAGATACAGGAGACTTTATAAATGGAATCGTGTTTACATAACTTTGATGTTACGACATAGTCGTAAAATTAAAGTGCATTTTGTAGAGTAACACTAAAATGTCGCTCGGGAAACATAAACTTACTCACATTTTTTTTTTTTGAAGTCGAAAACAATGTACGGTCAACCTTTTAAAGACTCAAGCACTATTGTTTACCTTTTTAAAACTTGATCAGTGCTATGTGTTACAATTTATAGGCTGAAATTCACTTCTATAAATTAGAACACTGCAAAATTGTTGATTTTTATTTTACCTTAATAATAAGGTTAGAGGCCACCTGTGTGTGGTTGTTAAATGCAGCCACGTGAAGTGCTGTGAAACCATCCTCCTTTTTGACATCGGTCAGATTCTTTGCTTTGCCAAGGATTTTGTCGACAGCACTGCATGAAAGTGGCATCAAAGTATTAAGTAAGTAACATATACATAGTTGTTTTGTTATATCATTAGTTAACGTCAGTAATGTATACACATTCTCCAAATATTGAAATTTCATTGATAGATGTCAATTGCTAACTGCCTTAGAATTTGTATGTGCCTTGGTTAAGTCCGCCCATATCTCCTTTTGATCACGTCAAACAGCTGTGACCCATTCGCGGAAAAATTGTTCTGAAGACACGATTGTATTATCGACGTCAACGAAACTTTACTGATATATGGTAAGGAGAAGATAACTCCAGTTTACGTAGACAATGGTTATTGAGTGAATGTCAGTATAAACTGACGATGGTATGACTGTACAGCTGCATGGATAACATGTTGCTCGTGCAATACTTACTATGGGTTGTTCCGAATGGAAGCCCAGTGTAGGACATTCATTCCTTTTTTGTTTTGTTTCCGGAAGTCTAGACTGGGATGAGACACCAGCAAGTCGATGACTTTTGCGTGACCTTCAGTAATGGCATCATGCAACGGCATGTTTCCAACGATATCCTATGGATAGTAAAATTGAAGTTCACATGGGCGGTTCTATGTTCTTTTGTAGTGCTGAAATTCTAAACTTAGAACACGCTGGAAATTATCTGTTTCCTATGTTCTGCGGACTGTAACTCTGACATAGCGATACATGTATATATATGTGATAGACAGCGTATTTCGGCAAGTCTGTATCGCCATGTTTCAGGTACTATAAGCAATATTGGGATACATTAAGTCGTAGTTTAGGCTATAACGAGCAACTTAAAGGATAGCACGTGCACATTAACGCTTACGTTAGGTATAACCAACTTCCGTCATAGTTAAGGTCGCTACAACCAACATCATATTGTACAGCAATGGTTAAGGTAAAATATAAATATGTTAATCAGCTTCTGTACCAGCACTGTCATGATTTAGGTTAAAACACTAAACGCTTTATACCATCCATTATAGAGACTAATAAAGCCAACTTCAGTGTAAGTAAAGTCAAGTTTTACGTAAGTACAGACAACGGCAACGCCATCACAGCCATAACTAAGGTAAACTAACATCAGACCAACAAAGTCAGGATTTAGGTTACAATAACCAACGTCACTGCCTTGCTAACCATGATTTAGGTAAGTATGATTTAGTAATCAATTTTAAAACCCTTATATTAGAGGGATTCTATAGCAGCGGTGATGTTTAAATGTGATGACAGGGGATAACTTTGCTATACCTTACACAACGTCCACCGTATACCTCTATTAGGGAAATTCTTTGGGATATGTTGCTGATACTATGTAATCGGATAATGATGACGTTGATATTGTCAATCGGGCTCTCATCTGAAGGTTCATAAGTAGTATACGTAAGCTTGTCACCTTAGGGTTGATTAATAGTGTTTATAAGTCTGTTCTTTAGGGTTGTTTAACCATGCCAATCGGTCTCTCACATGAGGGTTGATTATAAATCCCATTAGTCTCTCACCTGTTAGTTAATGAATATTGGCAATCGGTCTCTCACCTGAGGGTTGATTATAAATCCCATTAGTCTCTCACCTGTTAGTTGATGAATATTGGCAATCGGTCTCTCACCTGAGGGTTGATTATAAATGCCATTAGTCTCTCACCTGTAAGTTGATGAATATTGGCAATTGGTCTCTCACCTGAGGTTTGATTAACCATGCCAATCGGTCTCTCACATGAGGGTTGATTATAAATCCCATTAGTCTCTCACCTGTTAGTTGATGAATATTGGCAATCGGTCTCTCACCTGAGGGTTGATTATAAATGCCATTAGTCTCTCACCTGTAAGTTGATGAATATTGGCAATTGGTCTCTTACCTGGGGATTGACGTCACATTTCCTGCCAATGAGAAGTCTGACTAACACATCTTCTCCAGCATTAGATGCTATGTGAAGGGCCGTTCTACCCTTTTGGTTGGCAAAGTCGACATTCGCTCCCGCGTCAAGTAGTACGGTTGTGGTACTGACCTTCTTCCTGTTTGGTAGGAGAAACGATTTATTTCTAAGGGGAAAAATATATGTCTAAATGAAGTATTTTTGAAGTCTTGATCTTAAGTTTTGATGAATGCAGACAAATGCATCAATTATTCATTAAAATGCATACCATGAAAAGTATATAAAGTTAAATATTTTAATTAGCTTACACGTCGTAAATGTACCAATATGTCAGTCAGGTAATTTACTAAAGTTACATTAACTATAAGGCAATTAACATTCTAAAACTAACACATGACAACTGACCCCACAACAGCCGCTAACAGAGGTGTGTTGCCGCCAGCGTCTGTCAGTTCGGTTTCAGCATCGCTCTGTAGAAGCGTCTTAACGACCGCGTCATGTCCCTGGTGACTGGCCAAGACCATAGCCGTCGTACCGTCGATCACTTTTTGCGCCTTGAAAATTGACATAAGATTATTTAGTAGTGTATTAAACATTTCACGCATTTGGTAGTGCGAACCCGGTAGTACTAATTCATATTATTAACAGTACTTATTTATTTGATTTATTGTGTACTTCCAAAAGCATGCCGATTATCATATCACTATAATATCAACGCGTTGTATTTTAACAGATGAGTGTATGCTTGTTATGATACAGCAGTATGTCATGATAACCTTTCTAAGAACCTCACCACAAGTACATATCAAGCAAATATGATTTTATCTTCTTGTTTTTTTTGCGTTTGAGTATTAACAATACTCTCTAAAAACGCCAAAATATGTAACAGTTTCGAATTTAGACAGTTTCTAACCACGATAATGAAGCTAAGCTTAAAGGGCCGGTTTCCAAAATGCCGTTGTGGTCACAAATCTATAAAGTATAAAGATTTAGGTCACTTGGTTTGTTTTTTATGGCTCCTCAAAGTTGTACCTTTCAGAAGCTGTCTAAGTGTTGATAAAATGTGCATGTTATGTAAAATATTAATGAAAATCTAATCAAATGATGGTCACCGTAAAGAATACATTCATGGCATGATTGTGACAAAAAATCATGTTTCCATCGCGCCATTTGGCTGTTTTATGGAAGAAACAATCTCAAAAATGCCATTTTCGATGATAACATTTTAGACACAAAAACTGTGTTTTTTAGAGAATACACCCTTTTATGGGCGTTGGATGCAAACCAATTTTTATCCTATTAAACAGTACGTAATATGCTATTGATGAGAGGAAAAATCATCAAAATGTAAGTGGTGGAACATTTTCAAATGTTGGGTTGAATTAGCCTATGGTTGAATTGCCGATTTTCGACTTTCTTTAGATAATTAACAAAAAAACGAGAGTATTTGCTCGGTATGTTGAGAATATGTACACAGATATGAAAAAAAGTGAGAGAAACACTTTTTCATAAAAAAAATCCAAGATGGCTACTTCACAAGTCCCCGTGGTTGAAGACATTGGCTGACAAATAGACAGAACAACAAACAAAACGTGTTCCTTATGATTTTGGTTGGTTTTCGCATTTACGGGAGTGTTCATAGCTACGGGCGATTGTATAATACCTATATTTATAAGTTTGGTTAGTCACATGGTAACGGGGATCTTTCATATCGAGCCCCAAACATACTTTCGACATATGCACTCCGTTGCCGCATGGAAAACTATTTCAAGTTTTGTCGGAATTTCTTTACCTGTGGTTGTAATGGTCGAGGGTTTTCCAGCGTCCTGTAATACCCAAGGTAGTACAAGATACTGGAGATGTGCGCACACATTCCCATCGTTCTCTCTCCAACTGGGCACTGGCAGTAGTAGTCCTTTATTGGGGCCTCAACATCGGGTGAAACGGTGAACCGTATCCAAACGTTATATTTCGTTTGGCTTTTGTGTCGAGAATGTATTTGACATCGGAGAAGGTCTGGGGAGTGCTGGTAAAGCCACACCTCATAGTCTCCGTCATCACTTAAATGTTCGGCGATGTAACCAGGAGCCAGAGATATCTGATACGTTCCACACGTAATGGTTCTCAAGTAATCAAGATCGAGACGGGGAAACAGTACGGAAGATGCATCCATCTTGACAAACTCGGACCTTGCCCGTCTAGATAGATCCGGATCTGTCTTGACTCTCTGAGCTAAACCATTCGGTGTTGTCAAACGGTCCTTCATACGTTCAGCCATTAGCCTATCTTTGGCATCTCTCTCTGGAGATCTCTGGTAGATCGGTCCTCTAATACCATTCAGACAGGCTGTGACGGTTCGAAGCAAAGCCTCGATGACATTGATAAAGCTGTTAGACACCAATTGCGTTCGGAAGAACGTCCAGTGTTTCAGACGACCATGATAGGATTCCACAATCCACCTCGATTTGGTGATAGTTCTGTCAAGATTTGCTTGGACGTCAGAATGTTGACTTTGACCGGGTTTCAGGTATGACGGCATGCTAGCATTGAGGCCAGAGGCTTCGAGAACTGGTAGGACATCTCTAAAACCTCGGTCAACGACAACGTTGTCGTCTGGTTGTAGCCAAGTAACTAGCTTGTCCATGACTTTTTTTGTAATTGTAGCATCATTTTCGCTGCCAGTGAATGGTCCTACTGTGTCCAGAATGTAGCCATCTGGTAAGGCGATGCTCATGAATTTGAGATAGTTTCTCTTCTTCTGGCCACAGTAGGACATTCTCTGGAGCTTGTGGTCGGAGCTTTTCTGGATATAAATATAGGTGCCATCTAATATGGCAGTGGCTTTATCTCCAAAAAATGCTTCTGAAAAGACAGTATTGTGCCCGAGCAACTGTTCTCTTGTCAAGTGATCCGGACCTAGAAATTGTGGGACTATCGATGTGTCTAATGCCTGTACTATGGAGTGGAAAGTTTTGGACACACTTGACTTGGAAATTCCAAAAAGAGAAGAACACTGACTCCAGGAAATGTCGGTTTTCAGTTTTACCCAGAACAGTAATAGAGCATCGTGTGTAGTCTTGGTATATATACCAGATGAAAGATATGGGGAACAGTGCGAGTGGATTTCGAGGAACTGATCTTTGGACCAACCTGTCCAGGCCATGCATGCCGAGTCATCAAGAGAAGAAAAGCTTATTGTAAACGCAGACTGGTTCTGTGAAAGGACGTGCGACACCTCTAGGAGGTCATTAATGATTTCGGACGATTTTGATGGTAACTGAGATTCCAAGGAACCTCTACCATCAAGGACAACCTCTGTAGACGGATCTAAGTCGTTACCAATAAGGTGAATGGAGCAGACGCGGGATGAGGTGGGACACCACAGTTTGTGTGAATAGATCAGGTGATGTCTTGCACGTTTTGGTAAGACTGATGATTTTGTTCCATTTCTTGCAAAGGTAACAAGACAGAGACAGCATTTTTTGTGTGAAGATGATCCATTCAAAAGATCATGAAGGGTCAGCAACGGCAGGATATGGGACGGGGAGTCGTCTTCTTCCTCTATTTCCTGGTTCTGCTCGGGTTCAGGTTCAGGCTGATTTTTGTTCCGAAGATACTTCATGTAGCACTTCTGGCAAATAAGTGCTTGTTCCTTTGCTGACATCAATCCTTGTTGCACCAGCGTATCTAGGAGCCATTTATATTGTGGACTATTTACATTGCGTGCACTTCTGTTCTTATTGCCACTACGTTTCTTGAAGTATACTTGACACCCTTCTCCAACACATTTACCCTCCATCTTGAAACAATAACGATTGGTTTATGAAGCGTCGATAAAGTAACAAAATAGCAAGCCACCGATGATTGCTGTAAACAGCTAATACTTAGTAGTTTGGTACAATTATGCGAAAATGTGTGATAAATAACGAACAACTAATTACACAAAATAACAAGACAATATAATAAATCACATTCAATACCTCCAAGAAGCGCAGAATTGATTGATTACTTAGAACAAAATAAAGTATTTCATATGGATAATCTATCTATTCGATGTGGCGTGGTCGGCAGGCACAAAGAAAGTGAGACAAGTCAGGGTCCCAACCCTGACAGAGCCACAACGCTTTGGAGATGGGACAATAAAACAAGGAAAGTGAGACAAGAATAGCTAGCGTCGAGTCAATGATTCCGTAAACGTATAGACAAAGACAAGAAGATACGGATAAATGTACAAGGCCACACGATCAGAAAATTCAGAAGAGGACAACTTGAGATAGAACAGTATTCATGTATCAGGGTGTCCTCAGTGTAAATCTTTATATCGATACTGTTTATTTAGTCGTTACACATCATAAAACTGTCATGAAAATATCCGCTCTGATATTCAATATAAAAGTTTGTATATAATAAGCTATATAATAGGGTTTCAGACAAGGTTGTTACTCATTTCCCCTTTTCTTTCAATTTACAACCACATTCAGGCGGCGATATGAGAACGTTCCACCACATGGAATTAGCTGATTTTTGGTACACATATGAAACAAGTAAAGCTCTATCCGATTTTCTGATGGAAATTTGCATCCAAAACTATATAACGGGAGAAAATTGCAATTTTATGGCATTTTTCTTCATAATTGTGTCTCTGCAAGTGCATTTTCATCCGAGAATTTTTTTTTTTATGTTTTATGAATAAACACGATGTTTTGGAAATATTTATCAAAAGAAATTTATACTATGTTGCGAATTACAATTTCGAGATAACCTTCTTTTATTTACGAACTTATGTCTTTGATGCTGAAATTGACAACTTTATAAAAATACATTTTCACTGAAATTATGAAATCTGGGTGTCGGAAAGGTGTAAAATTATTCTTCGGAAAAGAAAAAAACAGTAGTTGAGCTAGATAAGAAATTATACGGGGGCAGGCTCCTATGGAGAATTAACATTACTGGAAACAGGCCCTTTAGTAAAGCAACCATTTTCTTTTATTTATGCTGCTCACTCGATTAACGAAAGGGTAGTTCTTGTATGTTTGTTTGAAAAAAAACGCAGCAGTCAGCAAGATTATAAGGTTAGTATACATTTAAAACAAGACATATCAATCACATTTTAAATATGAAAACAAACAGAGATAATACATATTCAAATACAATTATCAAATTTCTTTACGGTTTCTAGAGTTTTAGATCATAAATAAAAGTGTAATTCATTAAGCCCATCAAAATATATATCCGTTATTGATCTAGGACTCAAAAGGGAAAACCAATGAGAATAATTCATTTACCGTAACTAAAAACATTCAACTATAGATTAAAAAAAAAAGTTATTTGTATCTTATTCAAGCATGAAAGTTGTCTGCTTCATAGGACGTATGATGATTTGTCACAATTTGCCTTACCAGTTGTGGATTCGATTTTAAAATTTTGCCGATCATATCGTTGTCTCCTCTTGCAGCTGCCTGTAAAAAGTCTTTAGGGCCTACAACCCTTACACCTGCTCCTTCAAGCAGCATTTGTGCCAACAGCAAACCAAGAGCATCGCCCAATCCGGCAGCAGCTGGATACATACAAATTAATGATATTTACTATATCTGTCATAGATAACATGGTCAACAGCTCTGTATAGAATCAAATGACAATACAATATGTGTGGGTGATGTAAACCACCCTTATTAGTAAACAGAATGAAAAGTATATACACAGTGAAGTATTGACATACATTTTCATAACAGTTATAATAGTATACAACACGGTATTTACAGAAACATTTTCTCCCAAAACACCAGTGCATTCCCATTTTTTACTGGTGAAAACATTAACCTAATATACCTACATAGGGAAAGACAGATCTCAAACGCTATTATTTTAAAAACGTCACCATTGCGATATCACATTACGCAGTGTAACCAGGGTAATACGTCATCAATTTTGTTACACATTTCATGTTCCCTCTGGATACGGTGTATGAATTTTCACACTCGGCAAAGCCTCATGCTAAACTTCAATAAGCTTAGCTTCTAGTTTTGATTGCTCTTTCTACTTCACAAAGTCATAGATTATATTATTCCATGACGCGTTGTAGCATCTTGACATTGCCTTTCAGATGTTGTCATTCAATTATGATTAAACGTTTAATTAAACTTACATTGAGTTGCATCAGAAGTGCCCAGTTCGACTTCGAAAACTTCCTCGTCAGGGGCCGGGGTGAGGCATGCAGGATTAAATACCCAAGTCTTCCTCCCAAACGCTACCACTACGTCGCGCTTAGGGGTAATACGTACTACCTTACCCGCCCTACCAAGCACCTGTTTAGAAAGTATAAAGACAATTCAGAATTTTGACAAGAGAAGTATTACATGGTCACGCTATGACGAATACTGACATATCACATGGTCCATACACCTAAGACAAAACGGCATCCGGTTTTGACAAGCTACATGTTTCTTGCGATCACAATTTTTAAGACTACATATTCATATATACATTATATTTTAACCAGTGTAATATCAGATTTATCAATTTGGTTAAAAACAAACTTGTATTGCTATACAGAATAGTAAGACATCACATATGAAAATATCACTATTATTATTGACCAATCAGAACGGTATTTTTTTCACTGCATTATATTATTGACCAATCAGAACGGTACTTTCTTTTCACTGCATTCGATGGTACAAGTTTGATCTATCAATAAAAATATTTACTTATCTAACACGATTGGTAACATCTTTGTTTGCAAATCTTACCAGATTATAGAGGAAACAAAAGAAAAATGTCATTGAGAAGTTGTTTTGTTTTTTTCAAACTGGGGCGAAGCCCTGTCGTCAAGCTTGATTCTTGAGAACTTGCTACTAATTACCACACGTTTTTGTTGCAGATGTATTTCTTCGATTTATTAATAAAAACAAAAGTATCAATGTTCCTGTTGAATACCATATCTACGTCAGATTATCGATAAATAATCGGTGTGCAGGCTGAAAGCTACTAGTTTTGATATCGTAATGTTTTTATTTACTTACCAACTTCATATTGTTGTTTATTTTTATGATCTATTTAAACAATTGCAAAACATCAATACATCACACTCCATTTTTTTAATTTTTTTTTATTTTTTTTTTATTTTTTTTTTATCTTTTTCAATAGTTAAATTAGAAGGTTTTTTTTACTGTTAAAGACAATATTTTGCTCTGGAAGCTACATACGAGATCCATTTCATCGATCCAGCCACCGTGATCCTCCTGAACGATCTTCACGAACTCCGAGTCTTCTGACACCGTCACGATATCACCCATACTGATATCATGAACCTGGAATAACGGTCACATACAATCCTTTACCTGGGCCCGTGTTCATGAAACTGTTCCGTACTCAAGCATTGATTATATGCTCTGACCCAATTTCTTGTAAGTTGCTCAAATCATTTGACATAGTTAAACAGTCACTGAAAAGAGTATTTAAGTGTCTCCTACATTTGTCCAGATCATTGAAACATGTGTTATGCATTGTTGATTTTTTACCCTTACAAGAAATGGGCTTGAACACAAAATCTGAGAATAGTTTCGTGAATATGGGGCCAGAAATGTTACAGGCAATCTGCGATTAGACATGCGATGTCTAGGCCAGAATTCATGTATTTGTTAATACATGTAAGATGATAATGGTAGATAAGCAATAACATTCTCAAGTAATAAGTACTTATATCGGTATTTTGTTGTATATCATATAGGCTACCATAATACAAGGATGATAAACGTTTGATCAGTTATAACACCCGATTGCACCCTTTCACAATTTATATTTATATAATTTCCTTTTAAGAACTCATATTTGATATCGCTTAGTCTAATTCATTTATTTATGTTTCTTCTAGTTGAAAATAAATTTAGTTATTTTTAAAAATCTAATCCTTGATATGAAAAATAATAATAAATTCATATTTTGATATTTTTAATTTTTGTTTCAATAAAACAGATAATTCAATAATGAATTCTTGACATTTGAAATATTATATATTCAAATATCAAGAATACATTTTCTTGATGTAAATAAGTTTAACTTTTGATATCAACAATTATATCCTCAATATAAAAATGTCACTATTTTTATAACAAGATTTCGATCTGTTATAACAACAAATATTCATATACGAAAATGCCAAAGAATCTAAATTTTGAAACTATTGTAAAAAATCATCTTTTTTATGACATTTGTGTACTTAGAAAGAAATGCTTGCAAGTACATGTGTTCAGATTTTCTAACAAGAAATACCTTGACCAATGATTCGGGATTAAGAATCCATTTGTCCATACCGATGACCACCACAGCGTCACCAGACCGCGTAAACTTCTGTATTTTGCCCACTTGACCAGGAAGCTGTCGAGAAAATAAAATATCTAACCCGAATCAGAAATTGCAATAACATTGCTGCGCTCGTTGCACAACAATGCCGCGAGAAACAACGAAACTGCAACAAATAGAAAAACCTTGTTATCAATCAATCGGTCAACAGAACACCCCCTCCCCTTCCGTATAAAAATGGGAGCTGGAGTTGCCAAATTATTGTGATTGGTTAACTTTGTAGTTCTGCTGTGACATTTTGTATGTTACTGCAGAGTAACGGAAAGTGACCAATCGTAAATGTCATCACGTCTTTCATAAAGTCTTTCGCTTTGAATTGTTTTGAATCTGTCGCAAAACTAAATACAATAAGTGAAAATTATAAAACTTGCCAATATTAAACTTGAATAATAGTTAAACAATGTATCGCTGTAATCTATAAATACAGTTACTTACCAAGAAGCGGAAGATGGTTTTTGTAGTAATCGTACCCAGGGGCTTCTCCGTCGGTTTTGCATTTCAGATCGACCTTTCCCTCAAATCCCATTCGATATTTAGCGGTTTTCTGTTTCTTCTCCCAGGTAACAGCTGCACTGTTACGGTCCCCGAGACCCTCCTCATACGACCGGAGTCCCGTCACGGTCCCTGTCTTACCTGTACCACCTGCTCAGCACAAACCACATTCATCAATATACGTAGTAATGCTTAAAAGTGTTACAAAAGAGGCCGAGTAAGTCAATCTATCAACCACTGGGATACATAACAATCACAAATTTTATAAACCACCCAAATGCCATTACAGCTATGGGTAGTATTTGGTCCTAACATTTTTATAACTAAAGAACAAGATTTTTGAAAAAAAAAAAACCCTTTTTTTTTGGCCCCCTAATAGTATTTCTGTCAAATATGAACAACTTCCGTTCAAAACAATGGAAGACATTGCCTATTATGTTTATTTCCTTTATAAACTACACTAAACTTCACCTCCTCCCCAGGAACAAACGGGGGGGGGGGGGGGGGGGGGGGGNAGGAGACATAAAAATCACAATTTTTATAAACCACCCAAAGGCCTTTACAACTGTGAGTAGTATTTGGTTTTAGCATTTCTGGAAATGGAGAAGAAGATTTTTTTTATTATTTTCTTAGTTTTCCCCTTTTTGGCCCCTTACTAAACCCCCTAGGGGACCACACCCTTATTTCATAACTCCATTGAGCCCCTGGTCTCAAGGATGCTTCAAATCAAATTTAGTTAAAATCCGATCAGTCGTTCAGGAGATAAAGGCTTTTAAAAGGAAAAGTTGACGCCGGACGCCGGACGACGGACGACGGACGCCGCGGTACGGCATAATTATAAGCTCACTTGCCCTTCGGGCAGGTGAGCTAAAAACCATACACTTATTAACACAGAAACGTTTGCATGTGTAGTATCTTTTCAGCCAGACGGCGGCTAGCGGCGATGATGATGATGATGATGAAGATGATGATGATGATGATGATGATGATGATGATGATGATGATGATGATGATGATGATGATGATGATGATGATGATGATGACGACGATGATGATGATGGATGATGATGATGACGACGACAATAACTGAAAGGTATTAGAATCAATGTTGAATTAACCTGTAGGTGCGTTGTCCAGTATTCTGAGGTCACACTTGCCGTCCTTTCCAGCGCGACATCTCGTCCTTGACCCCATGTCCCACACTACCGTCACAGATACGTCGCCATGGTCCTCAACCACGGTTCCAAGATGGCCGTCGCCACCATCCTCGTTCCCAAGGTTCCAGTCGGGTCCTCTCACTACTCTCAGTCCCAGAACCATTGTGGTGTTTATCTATTAGAGAGGTGTAACCTATAATGTATAATAACCATTATTACCTCACTACCAAATTCTACGATTTTTACCTACTGTACGATATCACTGATCAGTGCCTTGTTTACTGTTTTGTGTTGTTTTTCCTAAAAATATTGTTAGTTTTTCATATATCATGACCACATTTAACTCCCACTAAGGGGCCAACGGGTAGACATATAACCCGTCTCTCTGACTGTCTGTAGTAAAGGTGCTATTTGGACAAAATGTATTGTTATTTCCGAAAGCTAGCTGTACTGATTTGGCACATTGTGGCTTAGTGAGCTGTTTTCGGCGATTAACAGTCGATACATTGGTCATTTGTAGTTTGCTTGACAAAGGAACAAGAATGATTAACAGGTAAATAAGTGTTCATTCACTGTTTTTGTTCAAAACAAACTTAACATAAAAAATAGTCTAAAATAATGTCTCACATGAAATGGTTTACCTCAATTCTGAAGTTGGACTTAAATATAATAGAGCAAAGCAATCTGTTTAATGCGCCTTACTTCGGTTTTTTTACATAGGGAGATATTAGCCAGGTGGCATTTCATTTCATCAGATTTTATATATGTCAATTGGATTGGACATCAGGCTAGGCCTATTTAAGTCCTTTCCAAACTTATTTACAAACATTACATATATTCTGTCATAACAATCCAATTAAGCAGTGCAGGGGAGATAACTCCAATTTAGCTTGTGAAATGAACATTTTACAACTTTTGTTTAATCATTTTCTGTTTATGTTTTAGATATTAACAATTAAATAAATCATGTATATTTATTGACAACCCATCCTACATAAAATCCAAGGGATACAGGCCAGGTGGCATAGGACTAGAAGTTAGCGCCTGATAAGGCAGCTCCTGCGAATTCCTCCAATTGTATTGATTACTGTAGTGTATATGCTAATTGTATTGATTGTAAAAAAAAAAGTGTATATCTATGTACAGTAAAACGCTTTAGAGTGGCTTAGGTTAGCTAGATAGGGCGCTATATCAAATGCTGTATGTTATTATATAAGCATTGCTCGATGCTCACTCTCTGTCATCCTTTCATTTAGATATAATCATCACTGAATCTTTATATTTACATAGATCTTTTATTCACGTGTATTTTTATTTCACATCTATGTAACATTAATCGATTTTTATCGCATTATGTTACCGTTAACCTGTTTTTCTATCGGGGACAGCCTCTTACCACTTGGGCCGTCGCCAGTATTTGTACTTTATTTTAGAGCTAATTGACAATATAAGTCATTTTGGCCCGCCGCCAGGAAGACCCGCAATAAAGGAACGAACTAGTCCTGATCGACCTACGTCATCTGTTCAAAGAAGAAATTTGAAACGATTTGATATTTGTTTGCTTGTCAAACATGTTTATTCTCAGACATATTTATTTTACACTGTACTAGAACTGCATATCATTATTTATGAAACTTAAATCTATTATAAGCAAGAGTGCAGTGTCAACCATTTAAACAGGTCTCTCTGTAATTATCTCCTGTATTTCTCCTGCTCGGGTATTTATTTACTGTGCGACTTGGTTGATCACTTCCGAGTCATTTGACACATAAATCAGCACTGCTTGGTCGCTATTAAAACTGATACTATACATGTACAGTTATTTAACGACACACCAATTCAAAAAGAACGCAAACATCTGTGTCGCCTTTGTACTTACTTACAAAACTGTTTAAAAAATCAATGTTTATATTTCGACCACGCCAGATAGCTTCTAAAACCGTTATGCAGGAACCCATTTAATCAATGCTGACCTTTTAACCTTGTAGCATATCGAAAATATCTGTTTGCATTAGAAACACATGTAAAAAATACTTCATTAGTATATCAAAGCGTTTCTATGGTTGACCTCTGATATTGGTGTGATGTCACTTGCATTTTCCAGGAAGATGACCGCAAGCACACGTGCATATCAATTATTTGAATTATCAAATTCACATGAGAAACTGGAACAGCAGTCAATATATTCTGAACCGCTACAAGATATTGGAAATAAAACACGTTCCTCCGTATTTGTATTCGTTTCCTCAACCACATGTGATGCTTTTCTATCCCGTGAAAAAGCGAGGCCATTAACTACTTCAAACACAGTGTCCTCAATCATGGCTTATATGTGTAATTTAAACATATTTTATTGCAAATAAACATATTCGGAAACGAATCGGACACAGTTTTTACCAACTTATTAAAGTCCTCTTCGGCAACAAACATGGGAATACAATATACATCACGCAATGTTAGAGCTACTTCAATAAGCCTTTTAGGAATACAAATATATATGATGAAAAAGGATCAAAGTTAAGAGAGAGAACTAAGAAGATAAGGAGACATTTTTCGAAAAAAATATCGGACACAGCTAACACAAGTTTTATTGCATAATATAATTTGTTTTCATCTAGATTGTGAGCCACGAAGACGGAGCTTGTGATATGCTGTTCACTATTCACACACCTTCAGCCTGTCTACGGCTTATATATGTTGGTTTTACCAACATTCCCTAACCGGAATGTAGGTCTTTCTGACCGAACTTAAGTTTTCTATGTGCCTTTCGAAGGTATCCTTGAACATGCAATGGTTATTACTCACTAGAATATAGTTCACCTTTTCTTCAACGGACAATGGTTATTTTCCTGCAGAATAGTTGTTTTGTTATCTCTTAACAATATGTTTTTCACTGGAAAATAGCTCTTTATTACCTGATAATGGTTCTTTTGTTTGAATGAAAACCATACCTAAATATACAAAACTACCTTAAAAGTCTAGAAAAACAAAAACAAATACCTTCAGGCAATAACATGATTTCAAATCTGATCGATTTCAGAGGGTACAAGATTGGACATGATAAAGCTTACGTTTATATGCCTATTGCCTTGTACGATTATTTCCACATTTGTCAAAGTCTCAGACAAAGACAAACTGACTATTTATTAGAATTATTTATCAAAAATTAAAATCAATAAATTCTTAAGAACTTTTGGTTTACAAATGTATTGGTATGTCTTACCTGTAAGATGGCGACAATCCAGTGTTCTGATTTAACTTCCTTGTCGGTTTCCAGGTATTATCGATCTACAATAAATAACTGTAGTCTATTTATAGTTGTTTATAGATTTTCAAGGTAATAGATAGATCAACAGATCATTTTTCGTAAATTCGTTTTAAAAGATATTTAAATTGACAAGTAGATATATGTTACCTTGATCTATTCTGTACTTCTGGAGGTTAACTCAATTATTGTAGATACAGGGCAAATACATTACAGTCATCAGCACACTTTCACAACGGAAACTCTAACATAAATAGAAAAGAACATTTTGGAATTATATCTTCATTTCAGATCGTTTTATCAACAAACATTTAATTGTCATACTACTTGTGTGTATAATTATATCGCTGCCACCTTGTGTTACAGGCTTGACCGTGGTATTTGACATAATTGACCATAGCACACTTTCAAATATATGTAAAAATGTGACGGGTGGATGTATATGCATTATGCTGTTTGCAGTCTTATTTGAGTGAGAGACGACAGTGTTTTGCTACCTCAGATGACAAAATCCTACATTTGTTAGTTTCTCAAAGGCCGGTATGGGGACCATGATACAAAACCGATCAATGAATTGTATCGACGTCATTCATTCATTATTCGTATTGATAACAAACCTGCACATGCTTATTAAATAATTCATCCCTTTAAACACATTTGAACTCTTACAATTCAAAGGTTGGAATAGTTCATTATTTCAGGGGTGAATGAGTTAAACAATTTCCAGTATATAGTTATACCAGGCACTTAATGGAACAACTCCTCTTTATTTACAGGTGGTTGTCATACTCTATCAGCCCTCACAGTCATAGTCATTGCACAATCTAAACATAAAGAGATGTAGACAGGTTAATATTTCCAGACATGTCAGATTTGTACATGTTGCAATTTAGCCGAAATTGAAGATGAATTCCATTTTGTACTTTAATGTCCATTTTGTTCAGATTTACCTCAAAAATATATTAAGAAATGTTATTATCGAAAACCTAGTGTATTAAAGCAAGTTTAGCTACCAAGTGTTAACAATTTTAAGGAAGTTGATAAAAGGGAATGTTGTAAGTTATGGATTACTCTCCGTTTGTTTTATATAATGTACATTTTCAAGTTATAGGTCGTAGGACCTACGGAATAAGGACATCATACATTGAACACTGCTGTAGGAGACAGAACCCTTGTTAAGCGTTCCACAATTTTCTACTGAGACCAATAACTTCGTGTTTCGGATCGGTATCAGTCAATTTGAAACATATTTAACATATTACATGTACTTCTCAAAAGTCAAAAACTAGTGCCACATTCAAGACGGTGTTTAATCTTACTTGTTTTTTTCGCATAAGCCTTATAGTGCAGGCATGTTATAAATAACAAGGTACCCTATGGTCATTCCGCTTCGAAATCTTTACCTGAATCTTGTATTTTAACTGTTGCGAAATTAAGATTATCGCCATGCAACCTTCGTATAGAGAGAAAACCGATGTGAAAGAATACCTCGAAATAAAAGATCATATATAGAGTGTAAACAAGGTGATATGGAGGACTTTGGAATTTTGTTCTTGTTTGTCCATTTTACAACGAATTAAGAGTATGCAACATTTATAGATATACCAGAATGTGACTATATATGTTCAAAATAAACTTCCTTTCGTAAAGTTAGAAAAAAGGAAAATTGAAACACTCTTTCGAAATTTCTGATTGAGATCAAATGAATAATTATATTTATATAATAATTCCACTGTCCATCAATAAATTTTGTAACAAAATGGGCTGTTCAGTGTGTTGTGTAACATCTTACGTATATACTAATACTATTGTCCGTTCTCCCCCATAAGTCTGTATTGCTGTGTAATACTTAAGCAGTGAATGTTTAAGCAAGTGTTATTATGGTCCTATAACACATAATTGATATTGATGACAAACTAATAACATTTTTTGAACAGCAAGTTAAGTGTTGACGGCAATGAAGTTGATGACGTCACAATAGAGAAAGTCTCATAACAACATTTGCCTTCTAAATGTATTGCAATGGAAGGATGCATAGTAAATGTAAATATTCAATATAACCCGCCCCGCCGAATTTGTGTTGGTCTACAAGTTGTTCTTGTTTTGTTTCTTTGTTACCGATTTGGAACGTCTACGATGTACCATGTTTCATGACTAGAGAATTATCAGTGTTCGGGCAGCGTCGTTAATTGTATGCATGTGTCCAATTTTTAAAAATAAATAACGGAATCGCATTAAAGCGTTAGTGTTACATAACACGCTAAACAAAACATGTGGACTTATTGCTTTTATTATCTTCACGTTGTGGTCGCGACAGTCAGGGTCCATACCTCGAGTAGGCCCACTTTGTAAGATCTCTCTTAAATCTAACAAATGTCCTTTTTAACACAGTTCTAGAACACGACAGCAAATCTCCCTGAACAAAGATAATATAGAGTTACAACATCAAACACATAGTTCTAAAGCACAACAAGTGCTATAACCAAGTCATCCCAGGCCCCTCCGGCCGAGGCCTTCCTTGGCCTCTCTCCCCAGTGTCTCGCATCCCGAAACTTGAATCTCACCTCTACAATCTAGGCTCCCAATTCTGGACTACTTCTTAAATCTTCCCCAAATTATTTAAACAATCTATACAACATTACCTATTCATGATTCCGGAAACACCTCTTGCGCATGAGTAATTAGGCACGAAAAGCAATTTTATCTAACTTCTAAGCTGGCTTTCTACTTACAAAACAACATTACTAGGTGTACCATATGACAATGACAGTTACACCTGTCTGTTTTGGGGAGTTCACACTCTCGTCCCTATCTCTATGTCATCCATGATTGATAGCCCTATAGCACTATCCACAATCCCCCGTCAATCAATGCATGGTGTTACCCGAATGATAATATTTGACCTCAAATGTACTTTTGACCAAAGTGCTGCTCTCTATTGATATCCAATATCTTACATGTTATAAGATGGTTCCATTCTTTATCATTAATTACCTAATTTACAGCCCATTTTGGCTGTTATAAGCTTAGCCCGAGTTTCCTCTGGCCCTGACACCAGACTTAGACATTTTGACAGATAGATGTATCTGTCAAAATGTCTAAGTCTGCTGTCATGGCCAGGGGAAACTCGGGCTACAATTAGCTGTGTTTCCGATAGCGCTAGCTGCAGTTAGATGTATTCTAAACACTGTGTGTTGAGTTTTATTTTAAATAATTTATATTCGTTTGAACTGGTGAATAAGAATATGACGTATAATAATGTGTCTTACAGTATATATATACGTGTGTAAATCTAAAACGGTTATTTGTACACTTACTGCAAAGCGTCTTTCAGTGATTTTATCAATTATATAAGACGCCGCTTTAAAATTATAATAAATAAATTATAATCAATGCGCTAAATGTCATTTTAAATTTTACAGAAAAACGAATAATTTTACATTGTATTCAGAAAGTTTAATATGCACTTTTCCCTTTTTGTTATATTTCAACATACATTTTACCCTTGGTACAGCTGATGTGTCCCAAATTGACGAAATGGTCATATGATGCAGTAAGTATTTACTTGGTTTGGCTTTCTGAATCGAGAAACTGAAGTTTTAAATCTGTACTTCCAAACTTTGTGTTTCTAGCAAGCATTTCCCCATTTAATCATGAATAAAATGCTTCAAAATAGTAGAATTAGTTGCGTCTGTACTCTCGTGTTACCAAACAGGACTTGACTCTGAAGTAGAGGGTAGATTGAGGTGGTGGCTTGTGGAGGACAATTCTGGTCGGTCTGGCATCACATTTTGTTGTCTCTCTGACCGCCATGTTTTCAATTTTTGTCCAGTGTCGCTATATTGTGTACGTATTTCGTTGGGTATACATTCGGAAATTGTATAAATTCCAATACACACATTTGAATAGAGATGTAGCAGGTGTATTGTAGTTAAGATCAGCTTAATCCGATGACTTTTTTGTTGCGATTTTAATCCTTTTGTGTATCAACATTTTGTGCTACTAACCAATTATACATGTATGTTCTTGTGTGCATGTATGTATAACATATAGTCACCTATTTAAAACAATGATGAACTCAATAAACCAAATAACATAGAAACATATTTCTGAAAGTTTATTAGACAGAGAGAAATAGGAGTTATATATCTTGTCACATTGTTTTTTCTCTTATATAGTTAAGAGTTATACAAGAAAAGTGTCCATCTTGAACGATAAAAATATACGATGGGAATTCGACTGAAATTCCGTTATTTTGTTTACTCAAAACTAAATCGTATTTCAGGCAAAGATGATTGTATTATGTTCGGCAACAGGGTGCTGGTATTGGATACAATATCTATGCAATGGCATGGGGTTATAACAGCGACTGGTATAATATCCAAAACCTGATGTCGTCTTGGATCAGTCCTAGTGCTGTTTATCTGCTTGTGGGCTGTTGTGCCCTTTCAGATATGTGGTTCAATTCCACGGATAAGTGTGACAGAAGCTAGAGACTGTTTGGTTTATAGGACTCCAGTTTCCTCTGGTACGTATGTCCCTTACTAAGGTGAAATGACCTTGAAGCTTTGTACCGCCTCCTCTCCCATCGCTTTGATAACAGTGACCTGGAAATAGACACACATTTATCACAATAGATAAATAAATAATAATAATAGAATCATACTAAAGTAATTCAGTGTTAAGGTATACACAAAACGTACAAATCTATAAGGTCCCTGTCGAGAATCTGGCTATAATTGGTTATCCAGTCATTAAATCTCAGTTTATCTGAAAATAGCCAGTTGGTCAGGAGATGATCATTATCACTAATTCTGATTCATATTTGATTACTACAACAACAGAAAGTAGAAAAATCCTTTTAATCCAGTGTTGGTTTATATAGTACTTATTTTAATCCTGTTAATCTATAATCATTAAAAATATATATTTTACGTTTTGTTATTTGCCTTCAAATTAATATTTAACTTAAATTGAACAATAAAGCAGAGATTGAAATCGAATTAACATTAATGTGTCTCGCCTCATCCTATCATATATTTTTCCAATTGTAGTACTTACAGAGAGATTCTCGTCGTTTTCAAACCTCTTCCTGATTTCCTTTCCCAGACCACCTTGTGATGATTTCACATAGGCCAGTTCACCATTATCGTTCATCAGGGACATATAGCCATCCTCATCCCTGCTCACATCAACCACCTAAACAGACATCACACGTACTGTTACTATGGAATATCGTCTATACCAAACCATACTGTTACTATGGAATATCGTCTATACCAAACCATACTGTTACTATGAAATATCGTCTATACCAAACAATACTGTTACTGTGGAATATCGTCTATACTAAACAAAACTGTTATTATGGAATATCGTCTATACCAAACTATACTGTTACTGTGGAATATCGTCTATACCAAACCATACTGTTATTGTGGAATATCGTCTATACAAAACTATACTGTTACTGTGGAATATCGTCTATACCAAACAATACTGTTACAATGGAATGTCGTCTATACCAAACTATACTGTTACTATGGAATATCGTCTAGACCAAACAAAACTGTTACTATGGAATATCGTCTATACCAAACAAAACTGTTACTATGGAATATGGTCTTTACTAAACAATACTGTTACTATGGTATAGACGATATTCCACAGTAATAGTATTGTTTAGTATAGACGATATTCCATAGTAACAGTATCGTCTATACCAAACAATACTGTTACTATGGAATATCGTCTATACTAAACAATACTGTTACTATGGAATATCGTCTTTACTAAACAATACTGTTACTATGGAATATCGTCTATACCAAACAATGTCCAGTCTGCGCACTATTGGGACATACAACTGACCTGTAGTTCATTTTAGGAACAAACTTATCACCTGTCCTACCAACTCACTTTTGGGGTATACTACTCACCTGTCCTACCAACTCACTTTTGGGGTATACTACTCACCTGTCCTACCAACTCACTTTTGGAGTATACCACTCACCTTTCCTCTCAGCTCACTTTTGGGACATATAATCCACCTTTCCATTCACCTATCTTCCCAGCTCACTTTTGGGACATATAACCCACCTCCCAGCTATCTTTTGGGGTATATTACTCATCTGTCTCCGAACTCTCTTTTGGGGGTACTACTCACCTGTCCTCCCAGCTCATTTTTGGGGTATACATGTATTTTTCAACTGTACTCCTAGCTCACTTTATGGGTATACTACTCACCTGTCCTAACGTCTTACTTTTGGGCACAGTCTCGTCTGTCAATACACCTATCAAAATTATAGTATAGGTGTATATTGTCAGACGAGGCTAGTACCTGTGTTTGTGGGTAAACTTTTCACCTGAACTCCCACCTCACCTTTGGAGTATACTACTCACCTGTACTCCCAGCTTACCTTTGGGGTATACTACTCACCTGTACTCCCAGCTCACCTTTGGGGTATACTACTCCCCTGTAGTCCCAGCTCACCTTTCGGGTATACTTCTCACCTGTACTGCCAGCTCACCTTTGGCGTATACTTCTCACCTGTACTCCCAGCTCACCGTTGGGGTATACTACTCACCTGTCCTAACGTCTTACTTTTGGGCACAGTCTCGTCTGTCAATACACCTATCAAAATTATAGTATAGGTGTATATTGTCAGACGAGGCTAGTAACTGTGTTTGTGGGTAAACTTTTCACCTGAACTCCCACCTCACCTTTGGAGTATACTACTCACCTGTACTCGCAGCTCACCTTTGGGGTATACTTCTTACCTGTACTCCCAGTTCACCTGGGGGGTATACTTCTCACCTGTACACCCAGCTCACCTTTGGGACATACTTCTCACCTGTACTGCCAGCTCACCTTTGGCGTATACTTCTCACCTGTACTCCCAGCTCACATTTGGGGTATACTACTCACCTTTACTCCCAGCTCACCTTTGGGGCATACTACTCACCTGTACTCCCAGTTCACCTTTGGGGTATTCTTCTCACCTGTACTCCCAGCTCACCTTTGGGGTATACTACTCACCTGTAGTCCCAGCTCACCTTTCGGGTATACTACTCACCTGTACTCCCAGCTCACCTTTGGGGTATACTACTCACCTGTACTCCCAGCTCACCTTTGGGACATACTTCTCACCTGTACTCCCAGCTCACCTTTGGAGTATACTACTCACCTGTACTCCCACCTCAATTTTTGGGTATACTACTCACCTGTACTCCCAGCTCACCTTTGGGACATTCTTCTCAACTGTACTCCCAGCTCACCTTTGGGACATACTTCTCACCTGTACACCCAGCTCACCTTTGGGACATACTTCTCAAATGCTCTCCCAGCTCATTTGTGGGTATACTACTCACCTGAAGGTCAAGTCTGATCACGATAGGGACACTCATGTTGTGTGTAGATGGGCAGATATCATCGTACTTCTTCTGAGTGAAAATGTCAAGCCCCGTCATGTGCACCTGTACAGAGAAATGTTTAACACAGAACATAAATACAGACATAAAGTCTTGATTTAAGCAAAGTTTACTGCTAACGAACACATTTAAGCGGCAGTCTGATTTCAGCGCTTTTTGTGCTTTAACTATTGAATAAATCTTGATAGCACTTATCCGGGTTACTTAAATAATCACTTATTGCATATATTTTGGGTAAGTCCATTCATCAATTTGCTAATTTGTTAACATTTAAAAATGACTTAAAATTTGATTCCGCTTAGAACTTTACAGTACTTTGCACAACGCAAATCAATCTAATGATAATTAATGTACAATGGGGGTATTCAATCTTCTCATACCAGTAATCAGTCTCTTTGCCTATTTTCAGAATACACTATAGTTTGACGGCTACAGTGATTTACCATGACTCCATTAAAGTTAGACTGAATTACGCACATGTACTGGTCACAATATATGTCTTACGTGTCATCAATTCTAAATTACGTAACAAAATACAGGAAAAAGTACCTGTGAGGTAGACCATTTTAGTTTTTATACATATCGCTAGTCTATGCTGCAATAAAGGATTTGTAAGTCAAGTCTAGTGGGGCAAATAGAACTAATGCAAATCATTACATATATTACATACATAATGTATGTAAGGGGCGATAAGTGAGTTACAATTAAATGTTTTGCGTATGCAAAAGTGATATGCATACCCATCATAGTATATGCATCTCTTTGCTGTAAAATGATAACATGAACATTGTACATACCCCAACTACCTAATGATATGCGACAAGCTAAAATTATCGAACATTATTATCGTTATTACACGTAAACTTTTACGTAAATAAAGTTATAATTTGTTACTGACTTATATTGTATAAACACGAAGGGAAACTTCTGTTTGCTTAGTTTGAAGTTCTCTTAATACTTATTAAACATGTTTTTAGAAGTGCAAATTTTTGATATGTTTAGTCTTTCGAACTTAACTCACCTTTACGTGTCCATATTTCCCGGTTTTAGAAGTACACATTTCCACTATTTTCTATCTATCGTACTTAACCCACCTTTGCGTGTCCATGTTTCCCGGTTTTAGAAGTACACATTTCCACTATTTTCTATCTATCGTACTTAACTCGCCTTTGCATGTCCATATTTCCCGGTTTTAGAAGTACACATTTCCACTATTTTCTACCTATCGTACTTAACTCACCTTGGCATGTAAATGTTTCCCAGTTTTAGAAGTGCACATTTCCACTATTTTCTATCTATCGCACTTAACTCACCTTGGCATGTCCATGTTTCCCAGTTTTAGAAGTGCACATTTCCACTATTTTGCACGGGTGTTCCTTAATCACAACGTATCCATTTTTCCTGAGTGCGGAACACTGCTGAGGAACAGTGGTGGAGGATCCAGCGTCACCTGTCCCAAACTCAGTCTCCTCTATAACGTCAGCGATCTTCCTGGAACACAAGTAAATCAAACCATTACACAGTGTTGTGAAATGTTCAGTTAGACTAGGGTTATTATAGTAGTCCTGTTAAAGCTTCAAACTACAAACTACTGTCTCAAGACAAAAAAAATCCTGTCCGTTGGCACCAAATTTATTGAAGCATCATGCTCCCTAAGAGGATGAATGACTTTTTACATTATTGACATATTCAATGTTTATAACAATGTGATAATTTATAAACCAATCGATGTGGATATATAGGTACGCCGTATCCACCATTTTCTATGACCAATGTAAAACACGTGTAAATGATGTGTTAGTTGTTTTGTTGTTATACTGATAGAAATATCAGTTCTTAAATTCTTCATGCCGAAGGTCACATCGAGAAGGTGGTCGATATTTTGAGGGAAATGTGTATTTGAAATTGAAGAAAATATGAAAATTTGTGTTTGTAAAACAGGCTTTTCCATTTTGTAAAAAAAAATCACAGCTTTCTTACCAAGACTTGATCATAACTAACCTAGCATAACCTAGTATATTATTATGTACCTGCATACAACAGGGAAAAAACTTTCTTTCCGATGCCTGCATAGGATTACCCTAGCTTATCCGACTAGTATATGTATATCATTATGTACCGTGCATAAAGTAAGGAAAACTTTCTCTCCAATGCCTGTACAGGATTATCCAAGATTACCCTCGTATAATTATTATTATGTACCGTGCAAACAGCAGGGAAACAACTTTCCCTCCAAAGCCGGCATAGGATTATTCCTAGGATATCCTAGTATATTAGTATGTACCGTGAATAAAGTAGGGGGAAACTTTCTCTCCAATGCCCGCATAGGATTAAGCTTTCTGTCTAAGGCCTGCATAGGATTATCCTAAAAATGTTTAATAAATCAAATTTTCTATTTGAAGCTATGTTAATTTTGTTCATGTTAATGTATATTAGAAATAGAAGCTATCACCTTGCGACTTTTCTACATGTAAATGTCTATGTATATATTTCACTGTGTTTTACTATTTTGCCTTCAAACTACTTTGTAGTTACAAGTGTGCAAATAATTTTATTTTGAATTTGAATTTTTTGAATTTTTGTATCTCATATCTCATAAGATATCTTATATGATATATATAATAGTTTTTAAAAGAAATTATACAAGACGTCTCTTTAAGATATAACATATAAAAGCTGTCTTATAAACAAAAGAAAATAAAGTGTCATAACTTTTATGACATATCTTACATATTACATCACATGCCACAACAAGTTTATAGAAGATATCTTATGAACATATAAGATATCTTATCAACATATATAATATATAAGATATATAACTATAAAATACGGTGTTGACATTGCTCCTTGAACAAATGTTGAGTTGGCTAGCCGACTACCTATTTCAGTAGATGTTTGTTCGGGGTAGGAAGTCCTAGCATTAACCAGGATCATGTTTCAGTAGATCTGGCTCATCTGATACCCCTATAGATCTGGCTCATCTGATACCCCTATAGATCTGGCTCATCTGATACCCCTATAGATCTGGCTCATCTGATACCCCTATAGATCTGGCTCATCTGATACCCCTATAGATCTGGCTCATCTGATACCCCTATAGATCTGGCTCATCTGATACCCCTATAGATCTGGCTCATCTGATACCCCTATAGATCTGGCTCATCTGATACCCCTATAGATCTGGCTCATCTGATACCCCTATAGATCTGGCTCATCTGATACCCCTATAGATCTGGCTCATCTGATACCCCTATAGATCTGGCTCATCTGATACCCCTATAGATCTGGCTCATCTGATACCCCTATAGATCTGGCTCATCTGATACCCCTATAGATCTGGCTCATCTGATACCCCTATAGATCTGGCTCATCTGATACCCCTATAGATCTGGCTCATCTGATACCCCTATAGATCTGGCTCATCTGATACCCCTATAGATCTGGCTCATCTGATACCCCTATAGATCTGGCTCATCTGATACCCCTATAGATCTGGCTCATCTGATACCCCTATAGATCTGGCTCATCTGATACCCCTAATGAACATGTAAATAGACACAAATAGCGATACAGAACCTGTTAAACGTCACGTTTTATCAATTTGTTTCCCTCAGCAATTTTTTTGTCATCGAAATTTGCACCGAACAATTACATCACTTTCAAAAGTGTTTGATTGCATATTATTATTCACACAGACGATTTTTGCGTAAATTATCAAATTATTTTTAGTTTACAAAAACAGCTCTCTTTCAAATCTGCAGTTTAATTGTGTTGTTGTATTTGTAAGCTGTATAATAAAAAAATAAAAAAAAATAATGATAAAACAACTTACTGCTCTTGGTTGTTGCGTCGTTGCTTGGTCTTCATGATGTTAGTTAGTTATTTCCTCGGAAATGATATTCCACAGAGTTTTTAAGTAAAAATCCTGTATTGACAGTACTGGTAACAAACCTATAATAGTTGTGTTTGGATCCTCGCAACAGTTGGACTATATATATACAATGATTGCACAACCACTTGAAACCCGCTCAGCTCTCTATATTTAGACAGCCAGACAGGTCATGTACGAGAACGTAGTGTTTCCTGACGAACAGTTATAATTACATTTCCAATGCTTCTGCCTTCTAATGTAACGTCTACATCAATATATGAATTACCCGAGTGAGCGAAAGCATGTCCAAATAAGCTAGCACGCTAGTGTATCTCTGAACAAGAATGGATGATGAAAAATGTCCGGGCAATTATCGCTGATTTCATGCTACCGTGCTTTATTGTAATTTCAATATTTGCACATTCATAATACTTCAATTCAATTAAAAAATAAAATATTTGCACATTTGTAACTACAAAGTAGTTTGACGGCAAAATAGTAAAACACAGTGAAAAACATACATAGACATGTACATGTAGAAAAGTCGCAAGGTGATAGCTTATATTTCTAATGTACATTAACATGAACAAATTAACATAGCTTCAAATAGAAAATTTGATTTAAACATTTTAGCTGCAAAGTCCATATCTTATACTGTCAGCAAGCCCACTCTCCTCGGTTCTAGAGACTGTTTAATGAATAAGCAAAAGTCCAGTATAAACTGTGAGTTGTTTGTAGATAACATTGCATTCAAATAATTGGTATATAAGGTAACATCATGTGTAATACTGAAACTGGTACACAGCATAATTTGACCACACTACTTTACAGTAAACTGTATGAATAATATTTCATTTACATGTATATTCTGGAAAACTGCATCATTATGAAAATATTATAACTATTTCAGGACATAGTGATTTTTATACGCTTGTTTATGAATGATATATTCACAAATCAATAAAAAAAAAAAACATTCGTGGTTCATGGCAACAGACATTTTAGCCAAATGTCAGTGTGTTGTGCAACTAAGTTCATAATTTTAAATAAGAGTTACCTCCCCTCCCACACATACAGCACCGGTGTCAGTGTATAGTGCAACGAGGTCATATTTTAAGTTAGATTCCAGGACATACAGGGGATTCCATGTACATATGTACTGTCGCAAAATGCAACAACCAATGAGGAAAGTGACTAGGTAGGGATGTAAACTTTGTTACAATGAAAACAATAAGAAAATAAAATTGTGAATTCTTTTTTTGTTGTATTTCAGGGAACTGAATAAAAACGGAATTCCGGGCGAGTTACTGATTATAGACTGTCTACAACTGGACACTAAGTTTTTAGATAATGAATCAAAATATCTTATTTTTGGAGAGGGTCTAAAGAAATGGGGAAAAAAGTATTTCATTAGGGAGCTTATTCAGCTATTATTCATGGGGGTACTGTTTGGTCATGTTTTAAATCGAAAGGGGTTGTGGAATGTTAATACTCTGTGCAGAAATACTATCAGCACGGAATTAGATTAGACTATCTAAGTCCGTGCTAGCAGTAAGAAACAGATATGAAACAAAATTAAAGGGAATTAGTATTGATAACATTGTCCTATTCTGGTGTCAAAATATATCGATGATGCTACAATAACTCTTGACAGCTCTAAAAATCACTGAATGAAGCAATTAATGAACAAACACCATTTGCAAAAATCTCTGAAGTTTTGTAGCCGACACATTTATGAACCGATTCTTGCGCAGTTGGGATCACCTGAAAGCATGTAAAATTCCCTTTCCAAAAATACCCCGAAACTGTCAAATATCGATCATGGATCCTGCGCAATAAAGGCTTGGTATTTTTCAATTAATATGAAATCATTGAAATCAATAAGAGCTCAACCAACATTGCCAAATTTTCATGAGTTTTCTCCCACTTCGCTTGGTGCATGCCCGTCTTGTAGTGAGATCTAGGAGGGTTTCCGGGAAATATTGAAAGTTTGATTCTCGCTTTATTCAAAATGTAGGTCATTCCGATAGTTTTAATTTATCATTAAGTAGCATTCCAAATGTGTCCGATGGAAATTTGCTTAAATTGAAACGAATATGGTATTAGTACGATTTTAAGAACCGTTTTGGACCGTTTTTGTGTTTCACCGCGTCATTTGACTCGTGCAAGTTGTTCGGGGTTTTTAATCTTTTTCTTTTGACTTGATAATAACACTTTCCACAAAGTTCAAATTAAGATATATTTTTAGATATGAACTATATGGTCGTTAAATTTGGTACGTATGTTTACGTATCTGATCAAAATAGCATATCCAGCCTTTTTTTAACTCGCTATTACAACTTTTATAACGGTAGTTATGTAGAATTGCCCAAGAATAACACCATGATTGTGTCTGAATGTAATCTTCAATTCAAAGCAGAGCAAGGCATTTTTTCTTTAATAAAAAAATATAGATTTTCAGTTTTAAAATTGAAGGTTTAAGAAAAAACACACACCCCTATGAGGGGCGAAACCCTATTTGGGAGTCCCAGGAGAAAACATCTTTTAATGTGTGCATGCATGTGGACAATAAAGATTATTTTGCCATCATCAGGGATAATGAGTCCCAGTTTATTTTTCTAAAAAGACTTATTATCTTTTGAAGTAACCAAAAACGTTCCCAAAACACATGAACAAAATTGAAACTTTTTCGTTTCATTGTCTAATGTAGAGAATATCTTTTGACAAGGCAAAGTATTGCAAGGCAATACATAGTCCTCCACCGGTAATGATTTCTATATTTAACAAACAGTACACTTATGTCAGAAAGCATACATGTAGGTCACAGTGAGGTCATAGTGACCTACTTCTTGCACTCTGCCATCCCAAGATGTCCTTGTACACCAAATCTGGTTCCTCCAGGTGAAATAGTCTAGAAGATTTGCCCCGGGCAAACATTTTCAAAAGTAAATGTCAAAGCATAGGTCACAGTGAAGTCATAGTGACCTTATTCTTACACTCTGCACTCCACCATCCCAAGATGTCCTTGTAAACCAAATCTGGTTACTCCAGGTGAAATAGTATAGATGATATGTCCCATACAAACGTCTGGGACAGGAGGATGGACAATGCAAACCTATAGTCCCCCCAAGAACCGATTGGGGATAATGATATATTATAATGTCTTTAAAGTTAAGTTCCATACAAAGCAGAGTGTGGAGGTGAGAACAAGGGGAGGGGGTGTACAGCGGCTGTGACCTCAACTTAATACAACTGTTTGGTTTGGTTGTGTTTTACGTCCTATTAACAGCTATCGTCATTTAATGACGTGTCAGGTTTTGGTGGTGGAGGGAAGCCAGAGTTCCTGGAGAAAAACCACCGATCTACGGCAAGTACCTGGCGCCTGCCACACGTAGGTCTCGAACCCGCAACCAAGTGGTGGAGGGCTAATGGTAGCAGAATGTCAGACGCCTTAACCACTTAGCCACCGCGGCCCCAAAAAATACATCCGCAAATGTTTGGGTTGTAGGCGGGTCGCGCACACCAACTAGGCCTTTGTTATCTATCTTTTACCACTGTACATCAAGAGCACTTTGAAATCCAAAGTTTCAGACAAACTTACTATAGTGTAGTTCATTATGATTTGATCATTCTTTTTTCACCTCTTTCACCCCATAACATTTCAACCCCTAACTTTTACTAGATATAGAATACAACACAATGTATATAACAATACGATGTAAAGCTTTATTCACCATTTAAGGACCCTCAGAAGGGAAAGTGTACAGCACACATGATGTTTAACAAATTAGCAAAACAGAAAAATCTGAAAATACCTGTGAATATTAGAGATAAACTTTGTTTTAATGATTAGTTGAACCACACTGAACCACACTGGTTCAACTAATCATTAAAACAAATTATATCTCTAATATTAGGCACTGAATGTAAACAACTTATGATTTTGAACAAAAAATAGCTAAGTAAACAATCTGGAGTAGGTGATAAGCTTGAAACCAAGCAACAGATTCATTAGTGTACTGTACCAGGATTATGAATGACTAGGGTGAAAATAAAAATATTGCACTGCCTTTTGTAAAGTGTGCCCGTTTCTAATTACACAAAAATTACTCAATAGAAAGAGAAATAGTACAGGAAAGGTCAATCAATCAGAACCAAAGAAGTACAAGTGTCCTAGTTTACACAGATTTTGATCAGCATGCAAAAGATATTCTTGTTTTAAAATAACAATTTATTTGGCAAGTCAGCATGTACTGTTTCAACAAAATACACTATAAAAAACACCACCATTTACAAAAAAAATGTACTTGTGAAATAAAATATATTGCAAAATTTGCAAAGAACCGACAAATTTTATTATGTCATTTACTGCCATGTCAAAATATTGGTATAACACACGTGTAATAAAACCTAAAGGTGCTACGATTGGTCAAAACCGTGGGGACATATTCCTACACCTCTAGTACTAACGGTACTACTTTTATTTACCATGCCACATGATACATTTACTTTTATTTTAAATAAATTTGAAAAGTTAACTTAAAACTTAGTCCGAAATCAGGACAGGTTTTGTGTAGAAGGATATATCTGAACTTCTCTGAAGTAATCAAAAACAAAAGGTGAACAATGGCCTTGATATATATGTGATTACTTTGCTAATATGTAGGTTTAAAATAAGCACAATTTGGTAGGAATACACAAACATGTTAATACACTGTGTTTATCCTGCATTAAACTTATACATTCTTACTCATAGTAGGGAGATGGTCTTCCTAATTATCAAATACATTTCTAGCATTTGTTGGCGTTTCTGTTGATCTGTAAATAAATATGGGTGGGCTTATTACCAGACGTGGGCTTTTTGCCATATAAATATGGTACATACAGTCAGTTCAGCACTTGACACTGTACACATACACTTCGGTATATATATAGGTCTCATAAGTTATAACAACAGTATGATCCAATATTAGCACTGGATCCGAACAAACAAATATTGGTTGGATGCATATTACTTAACTATATATATGGGTAAAGAAGTAATAACGACAGTGCAGACAGAGAAATTTGTCAAATTTTCAGGGTGGTCACTTCAGTATATATATATATATATGTTTATGTTATCATATCATTATATTTCTTATCCAAGTCTAGATCTGTTTTTTATAACAATATTTTTATTTGTTGGTTCATTGAGAGACAGTATACATGTACAAAGGAAATGTAAATATTTCAGTATACATACATTATCTGACTAGGTTAATACATTGTACTACAGTTTATATAAATATTGTTACTGTGATGAGTTCGCTGTTATGGCACAGATTTTGTTTCCAAATGAGAAATTTGATCTTGTTTAAAATATATGGCACTGCTATGTAAAGCACATACGCATACACTTTGAGACTGGCCTTAATGCAGAACATTAGCCTATCAGAGATAAATTAATTATAAGAACATGATCTAAATGAAAAATAAAATCTAAAGAAGGACAACGTCATCAATACACTTGAACACAGTCTCTGAATGTAAATGATGACACATAAGGACAACAGGAACAGGGGCTAATCAGAAGTAAAATCAACATTAACTTGTTCACCCCTGATGACATATTTGAACTCTTCCAATTCAAAGGTTGGAATAGTTCATTATGAAATTTCAGGAGTGAATTAGTTAACTAGATGCCATTATGAGGAAGTAAATACACAGTTAATAATTCATTCCTAAGAAAACACAAATTTTGACTTAAAAGGAACTGAGGTAACATCAATAAAAGAGAAAATGAATTGGCAGTTGGTAAATGTATTGTTGGTAAATGTATTGTTGGTAAATGTAACTGGAAACAACAGGTAGGAAAACAAAACTACAGAAACGACTGACTTACATAAAGCGGAAATATGTAAATGGCAAATCAACATCCTACATTTAATACAAGACAGACTAACACAAATATTTAAACATTTATAACTGCTGCTTTGGTGAGATAAAGCTGATATTACCCAATACTAATACAAATCAAACAAATACACATATTAAAACATATCAACTGCTACTTTGGTAAAAACATTTAAAGGGTTAAATAATCTACATAAACTGTCACAATACACAAATAATAACACTATTACTTTTACATGTAAACGGGATGGAATCATTTGCCAAACTTGCCTCAAAGTAGGTAAACCAACTGAGACTTCGTATCTCGCTGAAGTTTCTTGTACATACAGTTATCTCCCCTTAACTTCACTTCTGCTATAACTGTAGTACATTTTGGGCCTTACTCCAATAGCGTTGGAGGTTAACAGGGCAAGATACTTTTGACAGGTGCTGTCGCAGTCGGAAAAATCTTTTCCGATAGAAAGAAAAAAACGACCTACGGCCTCTTATGTTATAGGAGTAGTTTGGGCCTCAGTTCCATAGTCGTCCAGGTAGCTCAGTCAGTTACAACAACAGTATACTGATCTGAGGTCAAGTGTTGGAATCCTCTTCATAACAAGTTTAACATTCTGAACAGATTTTTTTTTTTTTGTATTTCATTCTTATGATTTTGTCATGCATGTGTGGTTTTATTTTCAGAAGTTATTTATCAAAACTATAATCATGCCAGAAAGAAATTCCGATTCACAGCTAGCTTGAGGCAGTGGTATGGGGATCCTTAACAAAACTGGTCTTTTCATAAATGGCACAAACACTTTGGACTGAAAATGACTAGTTTCTGACCCAGACAATGGCACAGTGGAGTAAAATATAAATACTCATTGTGAAGTAAAATACTGTTAACTATTCATTAAATAACAAATAACAACATAATATTTTCTCAGATGTACAACAATGAAACAACAATACAAAACTGTATGAATATAATACAAATCAGTAAAATGTATAACCCTCTCTTGTTTGACAAATGTTGTTGCTGTGGTCCATTGTTGAGATTTGGTGAAGACATACCAAACCTTTTCACCACTTTATACCGCAATGGACTTATCCAGATCAAAGCTAGGGAGAATCTAATGAAGTTACAAAGGGGTGAAAGGGCTTATGTAGGACTTACCAATTGTTCAATTAAGAATATGGATCCAATACTGATTTTGTTGAAATTTAACAATTTTAAGGGCAGTAATTGGATGGAAACCAAACAACCAATCAGAACAAGGTAGCCTTATTAATTAGATGTATGAACAAATGTGCATGCCACCTTTTTGGTGATCAAACTTAGCCTGACCAAATTTGGTTGAAATCAGACTATTTTTTGGCAGGTATTCAATATAAAAACTTCAGCCTGACAGAAACTGACTCTTTCCAAAAGCAGGGTATGAAACATGCATTGAACAGAACATTGAATGGTTTTCTGTTAATGTCATCTTCACACTTTGTAATCCTCTATAACTGACTCTCTACAGTCTTTCTAAAAAATCCATGAAGATCTCTGTTTATTTGGACTCCAGGAAATTGTACTCTGGCCCGCTCCGTAAAAGTCTTCCCGTCTAGGACCAACAGGAATGGAGCCTCACCCTCAGTCACACTGTTCACTGCTGATAACACAACACCTGTAATTAAAAATAAACTTCTTTATAGCTTTCCACTGGTGTTATTTACATATGTACTGAAACATTATCAAACATGGTGTACAGGTCTTTTTTTAAATGGACTTTTTATGTTCATCTCCGAGCCAAGTGTGATAATCTCCACTACAAAATAATATAAGGGACTTCATTACTTCTATAAATGGCACAAATGATATATTCATACCTATCATAATATGATATCAAAAATGCTCACAGAACATGACCTTATACAGTTGGCTTATTAAAAATTTACCAAAAAAAAATCAAAAAATCTTTTATGAAAAGTTTTACCAATTTTGCTCATTTCAGGTTACAGTCTACTTATCTTTTATTTTTACCGTTTTAACTGTTTACACAGCTGAAGGTCAAACCTACCATCATCCTCCTCAGATCCATTTGGGTCCGGTACAAAGATGGGCTCCGATGGTACACATCCTGGAGAGTCCCACTGGAGAGACGTTTTACTGACGAGGTCAACCTTTACCAGCTACCAAAGAAAAGGACAACCATTCAATACAGTCATCATCTTGACCGATGTTTCAAAAACAATGTCAGCGTTCTTTCTTCACATATAAATAGTATGAAGCATTATAAGACATTTTCTAGACATACCGGTATGTCATTTTAAAACATATAATTATTGACTTCTAAGAAAGTGGCCAAGAGGGCCTGGATCGGTCCGGAATTTAGTTTTGCAATCATGGTAAACCTACCATTCTGATTAAAGGTACAGGATCATATTATAAATATTTACCCATTTGGAGCTCCTCTATTTTAGTAACTAAAGGGAAAAACTCCTTTGGTTCAGAACATTTGATCTTCTTGTCATAAAGATGTTTCATTGCAATTTTGGTTGAAATATGATCAACTGTTGAGGAGGAGTAGACTTAAAGCCCTCATGACCCCATTTTAAGTTAACCCCAGGGAAGCTGCACTCTTTCTTCATACAACAATTGATTCCAAGGTCCAAAGATCCAAGGATACTTCATAGCAAATTTGGATGAGATTTGTTTGTGCCTGGTCAATTTTTTCTACATTTTGACCCTTCAGGCCTGATCTTGCACCTATTCCTGGTACTGTAGCATGACTAGTACTGTGTTTCACTCTTCTACGCCCAGCAGGCACATTCAACTGTATATCTTTAGAGGGTTGACATCTAAACTGTTTCCAAATTATAACCCAAGGTTTAAGTTCCCAGGGGCAGAGCCAGACCCTTGGCCAATCCATATAGGTACAACTGTGTTCCACTCTTTGAATACAATCAATGGCATGGGGACCAGACCTGGCCAATTGACCCTATATTGGCCATGGTAGCAAGGTGTGTTTGTCTCTTCATGCTTTAAGAAAGGAGATATAGGTTTTAAAGGAAGGAAACTTAACCCATTCCCAGTTAATTTAAACATATTTTTATTGCCTTGAAAATGACAAAAGGATTGGGCACAAGTTCTTACAACTTAATTAAGCCCTCTCCTAACTTAAATACAGTTTACGTACATCATAGCTGTCTTAACATGTACATTTCATTTTTTTTTTTTTTTTTAAATATTTATTTTTTATTGAATTTAAGTTGAATTATTAAAATAGGTTGTTGACGACTGTTTCTCTGTTCCCCGACCTACTCTTGGGAGAATTAACCGAGGTTTTCACACAGATAAAGAAAATTCAATTCTTCGAACATGATGTAATTGTTGTAATTAAGACTACTTACTAGAAGCGGTTTGTATCCTTAATGTACTTACATACATAGTTAAAGGTTTTACTGTTTTGTTCAAAAGTGAGATCATGATTACCCCAGAGAAGTGTGTTTATGTCTGTTAGGAGGATCTCTGGAAGATTTAAGTTCCTAAGATTTCTTACCAGGTGATTTCTTACAGTTGAGTAATTTGGACATGTATAGAAATAGTGATGTACATTTTCTACCTCCCCACATAAGCATAAAGGGTTATCACTGAGGTTAACTCTATAAATGTCATATTGAAGACTGCTGCATTTGTTCCTAAGTCTGGTGTGTAAAATTGTAAATTTTCTATCTCCTACTGTTAAAAATTTTGGAATAGAAACAACATCATGTTTGAAACAGTTTTTAAATGCAACAAGAGAATGGGTTGACTTTATACAGGAGTTGAGGGAATTCCATTGTGTTACAGATGATGGTATGAATGATTTTCTAAAAAGTTCAGTCCTACATCGTGGGATAGTGAAATCGTCTTGGTTACGAGTAGCATATGTTGATGTTTCAGAACGGAGACTAGGAAGGATTTCTACCAGATAATTTGGTGTCATATCGTTTTTTATTTTGAAAAGGGTTGATAGCTTAATATGTTTACGACGTTCGGATAAGAGTTCCCATCCCGTCTCAATGTAAAGCGATTCTCTTGATGCGTATACAGGTAGGCCGGTAACTACTCGAGCTGCAAGTAACTGAACTCTTTCAAGTTTTTCCCAGTTATTACCCAAGGATTCCAGAGGCCTATAAATAGGTCACGGTCATATAAAAGAGGTTACTCAATCCATACCAGGTACCTACTGCTTATATACCACCACCCTCTACCATCCCAGGTACCTACTGCTAACATGCCACCACCCTCTACCATCCAAGGTACCTACTGCTTATATACCATCACCCTCTACCATCCCAGGTACCTATTGCTTATATACCACCACCCTCTACCATCCCAGGCACCTACTGCTTATATACCACCACCCTCTACCATCCCAGGTACATACTGCTTATATACCACAACCCTCTACCATCCCAGGTACCTATTGCTTATATACCACCACCCTCTACCATCCCAGGTACCTATTGCTTATATACCACCACCGTCTACCATCCCAGGATCCCGACTGATTATATACCACTTCCCTCTACCATCCCAGGTACCTGCTGCTTATATACCACCACCCTCTACCATCCCAGGTACCTACTGCTTATATACCACCATTACCATAATCAACTTATGATAAAGTACTCAAAGCTTTTTACCAATAATATCTGAAGCTGACCTTTGATCCTAGCAAGCACTTCAAGTTGGCTAAAGTTGGCCTTAGACCTCAACCAAAATATTTTTCAAAAAGGTTCATACTAGTACTGCTAGCCTCTCTGATACTCATGTGGCATTGCTCAAAACCTTAGGGTCCTTTTTCAAAATCTTATTTGTGGTTTTTAAAATCGTATCTGACCCCTGTCATTTATATAAGGAAATTTGATAGCACTCCATCCCAAGCAGGAACATATACCTACTGACCAAACACATAACTCTAACTCTTTAAGTCCTTTCGTACATATTGATACAATACTAATGGTACATACTGCAATGACTTTTTCACTTTGTATGCTGAACCCGTACGAGTAACGATACTGACGGCCATTGTAGAGGTCATAGCTCACAGTTGGAAGTTCAAAGCCTGAAAAGAAAAGTTGAATATTTGAATTTGATAAATTGTAAATTCAGCATCATCACTGTATTTCCAGATAGTTTCCATTTGTGACTGATGCTCTCTTCATTTTTCACTGAAATGTCAGCATCACAGACCTTATGGAGCCATTATGGAGCTTGGAGGTGACAGGAGGGAAAAAAACATAGTGGCCATGAGAAAATAATACCCCTTAACCCTTTCACCCCTATGTAACTTGAGTGAAGTCCATAATGGTCTACAGTGGTGAAAGGGTTAATCAAGCTCTTTAAATATACAAAGTCCAAGGTAAAATCTGCCTTGAATTATTAAAAGAATTAAAATTGGAATCCTGTCTGATCAATTTAGCATGTTACTATTGTATGGTTTTCTAAAAAGAAATTACCTCAAAAGTTTTGTCTGTCAGTCATACTCATGAGGACCTTTCATTTTATACTTCTAACAGGGGAGATAGCTTAATACTCGAGCCAACTCTTGTTGCCAGATCCCTAACATTACATTCTGTATAATATTATATTATGTCCTGCATATTTGTAAATGAAATATTGTTTAACCAACATGGGAGTAATCACCTATATCAGAAAAGGGAAGTAACTGTGATCTTCAATACCACACAGGGGAGTAACTGTGATCTTCAATACCAGACAGGGGGAGTAACTGTGATCTTCAATACCACACAGGGTAGTAACTGTGCTTTTCAAAACCAAACAGGGGTAGTAACTGTGATCTTCAATACCAGACAGGGGACTAACTGTGATCTTCAATACCAAACAGGGGGAGTAACTGTGATCTTCAATACCAGACAGGGGGAGTAACTGTGATCTTCAATACCACACAATGGAGTAGCTGTGATCTTCAATACCACACAGGGATGTAACTGTGGTCTTTAATACCAGACAGGGGGAGTAACTGTGAAAATCAATACCACACAGGGGGAGTAACTGTAATCTTCAATACCACACAATGGAGTAACTGTGATCTTCAATTCCACACAGGGATGTAACTGTGGTCTTTAATACCAGACAGGGGAAGTAACTGTGGTTTTTCATACCAGACAGGGGGAGTAACTGTGATAATTTATACCACACAGGGGGATTAACTGTAATCTTCAATACCACACAAGGGAGTAACTGTGATCTTCATTACATCACAGGGGAGTAACTGTGATCTTTAATACCAAACAGGAGGAGTAACTGTGATCTTCAATATGCGACAGGGGAAGTAACTGTGATCTTCAATAACAGACAGGGGGAGTAACTGTGGTCTTTCATACCAGACAGGGATGTAACTGTGATCTTTAATACCAAACAGGAGGAGTAACTGTGATCTTCAATATGCGACAGGGGGAGTAACTGTGATCTTCAATACCAGACAGTGGGAGTAACTGTGATCTTCAATACCAAATAAGGAATGAAACTATGATCTTTAATAAAGATAGAGGAAATAGCTGTTATCTTGTATACAAGACATGGAAAGTAACTCTGATCTTTTATAATAGACAGGGAGCTCAAGGTAAATGCAATTTTCAATACAAGACAGAAGAAAGAAATATGATCCTCAATACCAGACATGGGAAGTAACTCTGATCTTTAGTATCAGGAATAGTGATGATATTCACCTTTAGTGTATATGACATCAGGTGTGCATTGTACTGTGGTATCTGTCGTCCTGATGGCTGTTGCTTTAGAGCCTGGCATCTCAATCAAGTTCTTGTCACAGGGGGTCTAAAATTGAATCAATGATATATATACTAATAAACTATCCTTTACTCACACCAATACTTTAAAATTAAGTAATAACAATTTGTCCAAACCAAATTGCAATTCTTTTGTTATCTACAACAATAATACTACCTGATCATGGGATCCACAAAGCACTACTTGATCATGTGATCTATAAAAAAGTAAAATTACTTAATCATGTGATCTACAAAAGTAAAAGTAACACTACCTGATCATGTGATCTACCACACTAAAACCGCCTAATCATGTGATCTACAAATGTAATAATACTTGATCATGTGATATTCAAACATATGTTAATTTATCATGTGATCTTAAATATATGTTACTTAATTGTATTATCTATAAAAGTAAAACCACCTGATCATGTGATCTACCACATGCACACAGTATCACTACTTGGTCATTTGATCGACCACAGTATCACTACCTGGTCATGTGATCAACCACAGTATCACTTCCTGATCATGTGATTTACCACAATATCATTACCTGGTCATGTGATCTACCACAATATCAATACCTGGTCATGTGATCTACCACAGTATCACTACCTGGTCATGTGATCAACCACAGTATCACTTCCTGATCATGCGTCACCTACCACAGTAACACTTCCTGATCATGTGACCTACCACAGTAACACTTCCTGGTCATGTGATCGACCACAGTATCACTACCTGGTCATGTGATCGACCACAGTATCACTACCTGATCCTGTAATCGACCATAGTAAGACCACTTGATCATGTGACCTACCACAGTAATACTTCCTGATCAAGTGACCTACCACAGTTACACTACCTGGTCATGTGATAGACCACACTATCACTACCTAGTCATGTGATAGACCACAGTATCACTACCTAATCATGTAATCGACCACAGTAAGACCACTTGATCATGTGACCTACCACAGTATCACTACTTGATCATGTGATCTACCACAGTTACACTACCTTATCATGTGATCTACCACAGTAACACTACCTTATCATGTGATTTACCACAGTAATACTTCCTGATCACGTGACCTACCACAGTTACACTACCTGGTCATGCGATAGACCACACTATCACTACCTAGTCATGTGATAGACCACAGTATCACTACCTGATCATGTAATCGACCACAGTAAGACCACTTGATCATGTGACCTACCACAGTATCACTACTTGATCATGTGATCTGCCACAGTTACACTACCTTATCATGTGATCTACCATAGTAAGACCACTTGATCATGTGACCTACCACAGTATCACTACTTGATTATGTGATCTACCACAGTTACACTACCTTATCATGTGACCTACCAAAGTATCACTTCCTGATCATGTGATCTACCACAGTATCACTACTTGATCATGTGATCTACCACAGTATCACTACCTTATCATGTAATCTACCACAGTATCATTAACTGATCATGTGATCTACCACAGTATCACTACCTGATCATGTGATCTACCACAGTAAGACCACTTGATCATGTGACCTACCATATCACACTACCTGATCATGTGATCTACCACAGTATCACTACCTTATCATGTGATCTACCACAGTATCACTACCTGATCATGTGATCTACCACAGTATCACTACATTATCATGTGATCTACCACAGTAACACTACCTTATCATGTGACCTACCACAGTATCACTACTTGATCATGTGATCTACCACAGTATCACTACCTTATCATGTGATCTACCACAGTATCACTACTTGATCATGTGATCTACCACAGTAACACTACCTTATCATGTGACCTACCACAGTATAACTACCCTATCATGTGACCTACCACAGTATAACTACCTTATCATGTGATCTACCACAGTATAACTACCTTATCATGTGATCTACCACAGTATCACTACCTTATCATGTGATCTACCACAGTATCACTACTACAGTAACAGTATCACTACATAGTATACCTACTTGTTGATTGACCGTCAGTGGTAGGACAAAGCGTGACAGCATCGCCTTTGGTAAATTCTTCAATGTTTCCTCTACGTTTTCCTCACTGAAATCCTTCATATACACCTTCTTGATTACTTGGGCATCGTTATATGTACATAGGTCGAGAACTAATGAGTCTGGCAACATAGAAGGGACATCCAATCAGAAACAGACTCTATTTCATTGAGCCCTAACAAAGTAAATAACATACTTTTGTTTCATTTTTTATTAATTTTGTTTTAAGCTTAAGATGCAATACAAAGAATTTTACTTGAATTTGAAGTGAGGTCAAAGAAAATGTTTTCCTAGCTAGAAAATTTTGATATGATTATAATGATCTTGCTTCTGCTAAATTACAATAATGACCGCATACAAATGCATGACAAAAGTGAGTTTTAAAGTAAAAGATTTTTGGAGAGAAAAAAATATAAAGACCTACATTTTGTATTAGCTAACTGTGAGAGAAAACCATATTTAAGGAATTTGTACTTATATGGCGGAAACAGAAGTGATAAAAAATTGCCATACCTCCATCTTCAAATGCATTTACATGGTGAAAGGTGAAAAAGGCATCTGATTGGTATTCAAAAGACTCGTGAACTTTCTCTCCTGTAGCCTTGTCGATCACATGGAAGATTACCTACAACAAGGCATGTATTTAATTAACCAAAATAAAAAATGTAAAGCTCTTAACAAGTAATTCAATTTGTATTTAAATTAGAAAACATTCACAGTAAAATTGAATGAAATAAAAGTTAATAGTTGTGGGTAACCTGTAGCTCAGCTTAGTTATAACCAATCACAGAACATTTTTTCTGGCGATCTGTCAATGCCATGAAATTTTCTATATTGTGTCCAGTTTCAAAAACACTGATAAACAGATAGATTATATTAATTGGTCATAAGTTAGGATAAACCATCGATCTGTCTATTATTCTTCAAGTCATTACCATCTGTTTCGAAAATACTGAATCAAAACAGTACATAAACCACCATGATAGATAGGGTCAGTAGGTTGTTATGCAGGATCTACTGAAACGAGTCCGATTTACAGTTCAGCAGAACCTAATGCATGTGACAAAATCAACCACACAACACAAGTTTTAGAGAATCTTCACAAATTTACAGCGTTCAATTGTATATAAAAATATGATGTGATAAAATTTGAGTAATTAAAAATCTATCTAATAAGGGTGAACATTTTAGTATTATTACTTGGTGTTTGATTTAGACAGATTTACCATATCCAAAATTGAAACTACCTTTTCATCTGGCCAATAATCAAGACAATCTGGTATACTGATTCCACGTATCCGACAGGTCAGGATTTTCAGGATGTTGATGACCAGAGGCTGTTCCACAAACACGTAGTAGTTCTCAGTAACAGAGAAACTGTGATAGTAGCCTGGGTTAAACTTCCATCGAGACTTCACAGTAGACACAACTTTCCCATCTTTAAAATCTGAAATTTAGACCATCATCAGTAGTCAAAACTTTATGATTTGCGAATCAATATGTACAACAAAGATTCACTCAATATTCCCATCATTTACTGTATACAGAGAGACCTTTGCCCATTTAGACCTTAGCCCTTCAGTGATAAAAGTCAATCAGGTCTAGTGTTAATCTTGCCCTTTGCATGTAATTTTTATGTATAAATATTTCCTGATATGTTGATAAAGTTGCCTTTATTACAAAGGCTAAAGTTATACTGCACATCAAGTTTACTGTAACTTACCTGAGCCAGCAGGTACTCTAAAGATACAGCTTGAGGGATGACCTTCATAGAGGTCAAGTTTACTGTAACTTACATTGTACCTGAGCCAGCAGGTACTCTAAAAGATACAGTTGGAGGGATAACATTCATAGAGGTCAAGTTTACTGTACAACTTACCTGAGCCAGCAGGTACTCTAAAGATACAGTACGAGGAATGCCCTACATAGAGGTCAAGTTTACTGCAACTTACCTGAGCCAGCAGGTACTCTAAAGATACAGTACGAGGAATGTCCTACATAGAGGTCAAGTTTACTGTAACTTACCTGAGCCAGCAGGTACTCTGAAGATACAGTACGAGGAATGTCCTACATAGAGGTCAAGTTTACCGTAACTTACCTGAGCCAGCAGGTACTCTGAAGATACAGTAGGAGGGATGACCTTCGTATACATGTCCCATGTTGTGGATGGTTCCGTCGCGATCCCAGTGGACATGTGCTACAGCTGAACTAATTGTCATATGTTTCCCCAGGTCAACCTGTAAAACAATCATTCCTGCTATAATATCACCACTTTTCACACCTGTAATAAAATCATAGCTGTGAAATCAATCTTACTGTGACACATTTTTGAAAATACAACAAGAGGCCCAATGGGCCTGCATCGCTCACCTGGTATTAATCTCACACTTGTAATCTTAAAAGTGGACTAAAATACAGTTACAGGCAAAATATCAGTGTTTCATTCATAAGAACCTATTAAAAGATTTAAACATATGACACCTGTGACCTTGAATGTCGAACAAGGACATTATAATATTAGGTTGAACAGAGTTTATAGTCTTCCAACCCAGCATGCTTCTGGAAAAATATCATTACCCTGGACCTTTTGGTTATACAAAACAAATCATTTTAAGATTTAAACATATATTGACCACTGTGACCTTGAATATGGGCGAAGGTCATTCACTTGGTAGTCCTTCATCCCAGCATGTTAATGGCCAAATATCATCACCCTTGGCCTTTTGCTTATTAAGAAG